CTGAGCATGACTTATCACTGCTGACCTCATCTACCAAAAATGCCATACATTCATGTCAGATACTGCCACAGCCCCTCCTTAAAAGTGGCAGATGGATCTGCCCCAGCAGAGCACAGCCAGAGACAGAAAACAGAACAAGAACGCAGCTCTCTGAGACCTAAAGAACACAAATCTCTGCCCTGATCCCTCCAAAACAGACATGACATAATTAATCTAAGGAATTTTTGCAGAGAGATTTTTGCTTCCACCACCACATTAATTTACTTGGGTTATGGTTAATTTAATTGTGTTATATATTGCAAAAAAATACTTCAGGCAGCCACTGATGTTTAGACTCCCCACTGTGCAGACTTGCTCCAAACAGGTCTGGGCAATAGCTGGAAGTGTTCATCCCTGCCAGCATCCTGAGCCTACACCTGGTTCTCACAGGAGACCATCTCCAACAGAGCTGAGATGATGGAGAACTGCAAAGCAAGAAGTTCAGCTGGTTAGACCAACAAGGTGCTGCCCAATCCTGCCCATGATGAAAACTGAGGGATATTAAGAATGATTTTTTAACAGACATTTAAGTGGGAATTTGGAAGCCACATTCAGGCATTACGCAGCTCAGAACATTAGGAAATGGACCTTGCTGAAGTCCACATAAGCTGGAACATTTTGAAGTTCAGCTGAACATCTCTGAAGACAATTTAGCATTAGACTCCCAACTGTTTGGATCCCACCAGCCTTGTTCCCGTAATCCCTGCTCACACAGGGCCTGCCAGCACATGGCAAACCACCAGCTGTGACAGGAAAAACACATTAAAATCACCAACAACCTGCTGAGTGTTGGCTCTCAGGTCCTGTTACTCACAGGACTTTGGGTGGCCTGGCCAGAAGTGACTTTCCCTGGAGAGGACAAACATGCTGTGACTCGGGATGAACCACAGGAGTGACAAGACACGTGGAAGGAGCACAGTCAGGGCAAGTGCTGCACACACAGGACCTCCCCAGCAGAGTCCAGGCTCCAAGGAGACGAGAGCATGAAGCCTAAAGGCAGTGGTTGCTCCTCAGGGGCCCGGCTGGCTCCGCAGTTTGCCGTCCTTCCCAAGCTCCCGCTCCAACATGCCAGTCACATGCTCTGCAGAAACCCAGATTTCTATCTCACTGACAGTGTTATTGTACGTTGTTCTGGCAGGTGACCAAACCACCATTGACTCTTTTCAGCTCAGCCGAGGTAGATTTTATCCTCTGAGATCCCAGAGATCCACATCCCGCAGCAAAGCCTTCCCTCCCTCCCAGGGCTATGGAGTCGAAACGCTTTTAGTTCTCTGCCATAACAAAGAGGAGCCCTGAGCAGAGGTCACAGCAGTGCTCTGCATCCTCTGCCCCACTCCTGGTTTAGAATAAAGGTCAGTAGGTCTCCTTCCACCCCTGTGCTCGTATCCTGTCCTCCCCACCGGAGCTGACAGCTCAGCCAGGCTCCTCCAGCAGCTGCCCAGCACATCCGTTCGGAGCTGGAAACGGTCACTGAGTCCTCAGACTGAGTCACACTCTCACTGCTTTATCTGAACTAATGTTGGCACACCTTGGAGAGGCCTCAAAACAGCCACAAGAGCAGATGAAGAGTCCTCAAGGGCACCTGAACCCCACAGGAGGACAAAAAGCTCCCTGCCCACACAGGCAGCCTGATCCCCAGGATGGGCACAGCCATCCAGCTGCAGATCCTGCCGTGTCCCATCACACACAGCCCCACACTGACCTTCAGAGCCCTGGGTGGGCGCTGCCTGTCCCACCACAGCAGCTCCAGTTGCACAAGAGAGCTGGGAAATGGTTATCCTGACACAGGAACAGCATCTCTCTCCCCCTCACCAAGACCCAGCTCCAACTCCAAAACTAACAGCTGCTTCACATATTTGAAGGTCTGGAAGGAGCAATAAAGCTGTTTTTCCTGAAATTTCTTGCACACCAGCAGAATCCCTCAGGCCACAGCAAAGTCACAAGTTTTGCAGACTGCCAGCAGCCCAGGGCAGGGGCTGGAGCTCCCTCTGTGCAGCCCAGAGCAGTGCTGGAACCTGCTCCCAGCCTGTCCCAGCCACCCTCCCGCTCCAGAAAGCCAGGCAGGACGTGGAGGATGTGGGCCAGAGGACATGGACCTCATCAGCTCCATTTTGCTGGGATCTTTACTACAGTCAGTCTTTCAGTGCCCAGACATGGGGATGAAAAGAGAGGCTGAATTGCCACATTTCAAGCAAAACACCACTTGCATCTCACAGAACAGAAGGTCCGACTGCCAGGGCTGCCTCCCTCCCTCCCTCCTAATAAATCATGAGCCCTGGCTGTACATACAGACACCTACTGATCCACAGCATGTGGATCACCATGTGCTAGACCTGCTTTTTATCTCTCCCAGATCCCTGATGGGCACCAGCAAACTGCTGACATTTTCCAAGTCATCAAAGGTTCCCTAAACACTGCTTCCCTGAGCAAATCCAAGGCAAGGTTTGGAAAGGTGGGCTCATTCACCCCAAAAAATACAGGTAGGTGCTCACTAAAACCAGTGTCAGGTTTGATTTTGATACCCCAAAAGAGAAAGGGACTTTGGTATGAGCTCTCAGCTCACAGGATCCCTCTGCTTCTGCCCAATTCAGGCCAAAATCTAGTTTCTGAAAACCCCTACACAGCTACAAAACAGAACCCTTGTTTTTGGCCTGTTGCCTTGGCGACACACAGTGATCTCTTGGGAAGAAACCAAGGAATGCATCCTAATACGAGCTCCTTCCTTTTCAGGCATCAACTCTCAGCCTTATTACCCGGAGTAAAAGCCACAAACATCCTCTAGGTCAAGAGTAAACAGAAATCTTTCCATTTGCTCCAGCATCAGCATCTTCTAAACGCTGTCTGCAGAGTCAAACCCTGTACTTGCCACTCCGAGCAAGAAGGGAACTGAAAGAAAAACGAGTGTTTCTCCCACTACATCACCACATTTAATTTCACCCAGAAACTTCTGTCTCTGCTACTTCTCCTTAAGCTGGATCTTAGTTTCCAAAGGGTCCCCCTTTGTTTCAGTCTCCTGAGCTCTGCAATATTAAAAGGCAGAGCAGGAACTGCCTGTCACATCTCTCCTCTCCAAACCTAGATGTTTACACAAGTTCTCATGCAGGACATCCCCCCCAAGGCTGTTTAGAGCTGTGTGTGCACCTTGCAGTATTTAGCACCTCATGTGCACAGTGGGACAGTTAATGCCATTAAGCTGATAAGAACATGGGCAGAGAAGCTCCATGACGTGCCCAATGCCACACAAATCCAACACTGACAGACAGAACAGCTCTTAACCAATATCATGATATTTTTGGTTAGGAAAGGTCCTCTGGAGGTCTCTCGTCCCAACTCCTGCCTTAACCAGGTCTGACCTGCCAGTTGCTCAAGGCTTTCCCCAGGCAAGTTTCAGACAGCTCCAAGGTTGGAGATGCCATGACTTCTCTGGGGTTCTTGTTCTGGTGTTTGACCAACTTAAAACCAACTCAGTCAGTGCACCGGTCTTGTCCTCATCTCCGTCCCTTCACTTTTGTAATGTTAAGGACAGCTTCCATTGTGCACCACTGAATTGGTTTGGCTCTGTTCTTTGTGCCCCTACAGCACTCCCTGCTCAGAGGAATCAGCTCCCCAGCTGCATCAGGAGCAGGGCTTACCCAAGTGTGGCTGTCCCACGAGGTTCCCTCTGTACCCTCTGCTCCATCCTAAGAGCACCCATAACTGCAACATGTTGTATTGATATTTTCAACATTTATAGCACACACCTGATTTGGTGTAAATCTGTTTAATGCCCCAAACTGAACTGAGCAGAGCCAAGAAAACAGCTGGAATGGGTTCAAGCCAGCAGGTGTTTAAACAGAACAACTCCAGTCAGACCGAGCATTCCCCTGTAGGAGAACAAGATAAAACTTCAGGAGCACTGAGCAAGAATCATCACTCCTCATTTGCTTATTCTGGATCTCAAGGTGCTCGTGGTCCAGACCTGCTCCCTGCATTAGTCACCATCAAATTAACACAGGCTGCGTGTGCTCAGGAAGGAATTTAACAGCGTTAAGCCAGGGAAGCAGCACTCCCTGTCTCCCTTCAAATGAGATGCATCCTGCTCAAAGGATTTCCTCAACTTATAATGCTCAGCGCCTCAGGCACCCGTGTGGCTTCAGTCCATCAGCCATCTAGCTGGATTTAGGTAACGGGAATGTCAAACAACTCTTCCTGCTATGGGAAAACGTCATGTTGCAGCTTAGAAGTCAGGATCTGTCACCTCAGTGTGCTGCTTTCAGAGCCCAACAACACGCCCACTCCTCCTCTTATCACATCCAGCTGCCCTACAAAGATTAATTCTCAATGTAGGGCTCACAAGGATCCAAGTTAGATCCCAAGCAGTGAGAAAATCTGGCATTCAGTCTGAAGGCACTTGGAGCAATCGACATCTCGCGGATCTTCAGAGCTGTAGCTGCACATCCAGACCACGCAGGTGGTATAATCCTATCAAGGGGAGATAAGTTCTTGCTGATCTCTTTCTGCCTAATCGAGACCTAATTCTTGAGCCTCTATCAATAGATCACTAATGCGGGGAGGACACCAGTGCCACGCTGCCCAAGTGACCACGGGGAGCTCAACATGTCCAGCACCCGCAGACACAGTGAGCAGAGCTGGAGGGAAAGCCCACAGCTGTTCAAACCTTGCAACTCACCCTGATTTCCTAAACATCTGAAATATTTCACTTTCTGTTAGCATATCTGCAAGAGGGGACGGGGTGGGAGAGGCCCTGCAGTTATCACAGGGAACATCCCACCCTCAGCTGCTTCGTGGAACAGCACCCAGTGCCCCCTCCCCGAGAGCAGCCTCTGGCTCCCAAAAGGATCAAGCCTATCTTCCCAAACACACTTCTCATCTTCCCACCCGGTGCCTCACGGACAGACAGGCCAAAAGTAGCCACGTCCAGCCTGGCTGTTCAGCACAGAGGTGTCCCGGGCAGTTATTACCTTCTTGCGACGGGAGCCCGTCTTGCTCATGCAGGACCTCTCCAGGGACAGGTACCCCCCGATCACTTCGATCTCGTTCACCGACGGGTAGCGCTTTTTATGGGGTATCCCCACCTGGGGCCCATCAGCGTTCTCCATGGCTTTGCCTCTTCCTTTGCTCTCCTCCTCCTCATCCTCTTCCTCCCGCTGCGGCCTTCCGCTGGCATCAGTGAGAGTCTGCAGCCCCGAGGCAACGGGCTTCCTTTTGGGCACGACAGTGAAGGTGCTGCCTCCCCTCTGGTGGGGGGCAGAGTGGGGTCTGTAGAGGGGCACGGAGGAGAACTCCATCTCCAGGTCAGGGCCAGCTCCTCCGGGCTGATCCAAGCTCCCCGTCCTCGCAGTCGAGCCGGCCCTGGGAGAAACCTCCCCACTGTCCGGCTCCACAATGTCATCGATGTAAGTCACAGGTACCAGCGGGTCCAGAGGAGCCGGCGGGGAAGGGGAAGCGGCGGGCTCCTCCTGCTCCGGGGCGGGAGCCCTCGGGGGCTCCTTCGCTGCCTTCTCCTCCGAGGGCGGTGGCGGTGGCCGGGCGATGTGGGCCGGGGGCCGAGCCGGGCCGCCCTCCCGGCGGGGCACGAACAGGAAGGAATTGCGTGAATTCAGGCGCAGCTTGGCCAGAGCCTGAGCCTGCAGGTCGTGGGCTGGGATGGCCGCCAAGTCGGGCTTGGGGGCCGGGTGGATCTCGAAGGAGCCCCCGGCCCGGGGGGCTGAGGCGGAGAGCGGCTGAGTGGCGCCGGTGGCACTGGGGGCCAGACTGGCACTGGGCAGGGGCGACACGGCCGCCTCGGCCTCCTCTGGCTTTGGCCTCCTGGCGTTGGCTCTGGCATGGGAAGGGCTGGCGGATGGCACTGGCGGCCCCTTGGGCGGCGCGGGGCGGCCCGCGGGGACAGCTCCGGGCTCGGGGACGCGGGCGCCGGGGGGCTGCCCCCGGGGCGTGACGGTGAACGAGTTGGAGCTGATCTTGTGGAGGAAGCAGTTGGCCTGGGGGGCTGCAGCCTTGGGGGCGGCGGGAACCGCCTGGGGGGCTGCGGCCCGGGGGGCAGCCGGGGCGGGCTGGGGGGCCGCGGGCTCGGGGGTGACAGCCCGGGGGGAAACCGCGGGCTGCGGGGCGACAGCCCGGGCGGGGGTGGCGGGCTGGGGGGTGACAGCCCGGGGGGGAGCCAGGGCTGCCTGCGGGGGCACGGGCTGGGGGGTGACAGCCCGGGGAGGTGCCGCGGGCTCGGGGGTGACAGCCCGCGGGGGAGCCGGCAGCGGCTGGGGGGTGACAGCCCGGGACGGGGCCGCGGGCTGGGGGGTGGCAGCCCGGGGGGATACCGGCTGCGGGACAGCGGGCTGGGGGGCGGCCGGCACCGCCGGGGGGGTGGCAGCCCGGGGGGGCGCCGGCAGCGGCTGCGGGGCGGCGCGGACCGCGGGCGGGGATGCCGGTGCCGCCTTTGGCGCCGGGGCCCGGGGGGAGCCGGGGCCCTTGTGGAGGGGCGCGGGGGCGCGGGGGGAGCCGGGCCCCGCGGCCCGGGCAGCGCCCGGTCCCACCTGCGGAGGAGCCGCGGCCCCGCCGGCGCCGGTCCCGCTCAGCGCGTCCCCCCCGCGGCGGCGGCGGCCCCGCGGGCGCTGCCCGAACTTCTCCAGGAGGCGGCTGACGGTGCCCGGCTCGGCCGCCTCGGGCGGCTCCGGCGGCTCGCCCGTCTCGTAGATGACGACCTGGTCTGCGCGGATCTCGGCGAGCGCGGCCCCGCGCCGGGCCAGCAGCTCCCGCAGCGGGTCGGGGCCGGCCGGGTCCCGGCGGCGGGCGGGCGGCGCGTCCCCCGCGGCGAAGCAGGCGGCGGGGTCGGTGCGGGACTCGATGATGAGGATGTTGTCGGCGCGGATGGTGCGGATCCCGGGCACGGCGCTGTACAGCTCCAGCAGCTGCTGCAGCGGCCGCGCCGCCGCGCCGGGCCCGGGCCGCCCCTGCCGCAGCCGGCGGCGCTCGCTCTCCAGCCGCATGAAGGGGTTCTCGCGGAGCGGGCCCAGGCTCTCGGCCACCACCAGCCGCTCCCCGGCGGGCGGCTCGGGCTCGCCGCCCGCCCCCGCCAGCTTGGCCCGCTTGCGCTCCAGGATCTCCCGCTGCCAGGCGGGCTGAGCCCGCGGCCCGGCGCCGAGCGGCGGCTCCGCGCTGCTCATGGCGGCGGCGCTGGGGCTCTGCGGGCCGGGCCCCGCCGCGCCGGGCCGGCCCCGCGGCACCGCCCCCGGGCCGGGCGGGGCGGGGGCTGCCCCATCCCGGCCGCTCTGAGCGCTCCGCCCCGCCCGGCCCCGGCTCGGGGTGGGACTCGCCCGGGGGAGCATCCCCTGGCTGGGGACCGGCCGGGCCCGCTGCCCGCACCGCCCTCCCCTCGCACACGGGAGCCCCCGGCCCGCGGGGTCTCGGCCTCACGCGGGCCACGGTGACCGACACAAAGAACCCTGAACACCCACATCTGCCCTTTCTCCAAATCCCGGACTGGCCCGCGGGGCACCAGCCCAGGACAAGAGAGAAAATCGCCCTTGGGGGTCACTCGTAGGATCTTGGCCATAGTCCGGGCAGGTGCCTGGGCAGGAGCGGCCGTGGTGGGCAGGGAACGAGCCCCGAGTGCCAGAGCAGTGTCCGTCCCACCCATCCCGTCAGAGCAGTGCTTTAGGGAGAGCTCTGATGGAGGCAAGTGGGACTTCCCACTGCACGTGGCAGTAAAGCAGGGAAAACATTTTTCCCACCAGCTTTGCTCTTCAGGCTGCCCAGGGAGGTCGTGGAGTCTCCTTCTCTTGGAGACATTCCAAACCCACCTGGACGTGTTCCTGTGTCACTTGCTCTGAGTGACCCTGCCTTGGCAGGGAGTTGGACTGGATGATCTCCAGAGGTCCCTTCCAACCCCGGCTATTCTGTGACTCATCAACAGCCACTTGTTGAGTACAAAAGTGCCTCCGTGGCGTTATTTCCAGTCAGTCCTGTTATCAGCCACCTGCAGCTGTCTTTGGGAATTCTGAGCGATCAGGAAACGATCACAGGTCAGTGCAGGACTTCCCACACCTCCCACAGCGGCAGGGGATGAAATCCTCACCCCGGGAGGCACGGGGGATGTGGCACACGGTGACATAAATAATCTTTGGCCAGGATTTGGGGAGGTTCTGGCCGGGCTGGGAGCTGTGGAGCTGCACCCCGGCATGCCCGGTGGGGGTGATGCACCCACTGCAGCCGGGCTGCCCAAAACACAGGTGTGTTTACGGGAAGCAGCTCCGTGTACTCCTGATAAGGCTCCTACCTTTACACTCCCAAGCCACAACAGAGCAATTGCACCTTCTTCAAACGCTACGTGGGAATTATACTACGAAAAATAGATTTTTTTTATTGCCAAAGCTGCCCACGTGCCGCGGTGCCCAGCTGTGCTGTGTGCCCCGAGGAGCTGCTCTGCTGCGAAGCAGAGCCCGGGGGAAGGAGGCAGCTCTTCGCCTTTCACCTTAAATAACACCCGGGTGATGTGAGGTTCACACATGACCTGCTGTGCTCCCCGAAGCGACAGGTCCCTGATGCACCACCCGCCCCGAGCCCTTGCTGCCCGGGGCTGAGGATAAAGACCAGGCAAGCGGGCAGAGACATTTCCCCGCCTCTGGTGACTCATGGCTCAGGCACGGCCAGAGCCAACAATGTGCCTTTGTGCTCGGAGATCTCAATGGATTTCTCTTTCGTGGTCTTGTCTGGTTGGCTTTTGAGCCCGTGTAAAGCCCATAAATCCTGAAATAATGAATCCCACACAGTTTTGCTGCACCTGGCGCAAAGAAAACGCCTCCCTTTGTGGGCATTGAACCTGACATCTGCTGGTTTCGCTGCGTGCCCGTCTGCCTTTAGAACAAAACAATAAATCCAGCCATTATTCATCTGCTCCCCTGCCAGTCAGGATTTGAGAGCCTTCTATCATTTCTGTCAACTGCTCTGTTCCTCGGCTGAGAAACAGTGTCAAGGGCTGGGCAGTGAGACTTGGCTGGCAGGAGGGTGCTTTGGAGCTAATCCCCTGCTCCGCTGTGTTCACACCCCCGGGGAACCCCCGGGCAGTGCCCGCCTGTGTTACTAAGAGGCTCCCGGGAATCCCGCGCAGCGCTCATGTTTTGGCACAGGAAGGAGCGCTCGATTACAAACCCCAGGTGTGACGGCGGCAGGGCCCAGGGCTGGGAGGGTGTGATGGCAGAGTGCCACCGCGGGGCACAGGCACGAGTTCCCGGAGCCCGGCGCGGCTGGAGTGGCTGCGGAGCCGCAACGGGACGTGGCAGGCACAGCACATCCCAACCAGCCGTGGCACTGGGGGCTGGCAACACCGGGGTCTGCTGGGACAGCCCCAGGGACAGCCAGGTGATGAGGAAACAGGGACAGAGCAGGGTCCAGCAGGACTGGGGGAGGTGTGATTTCACCTCATACCCCAGGGCAGAGCAAGACTCCACCTGCACAGCTCCTGCTCTGGCTCTGTCCATCACGCACCCTGTGGAAGGCAGAGGGAGGAAGGCAATAGGTAAAAGTAATCCATCCTAGCTGGGCTTCTCCAGGGAGTTGGGCTTTGTACCCTATGACACTGATTTAGAGCCAGGACAGTGCCCACATGGTTCCAGGGTAAGGAATGCAGACTATCTTTCTGGCCAGCGGGTACTCCGGGCACCAGCGATGCCAAAAGGCAGAGCAGTGGCCAGGCTGGTGGCTGTGCAGTGGGTGATACGGCACTAAAAGTGATTTCTGTCATCTGTCACACTGCTGAGATGTCACACACATGGCGTGTCCCACCCTGCTGTGGGGGTGGCACTGGGAGAACGTCCCCATATGGGGAGCGAGGATTGAGGAGTGGAGGCTGAGAGATCCCAGGGCTGAAGGAAAACACCTCAAATGACAGAGCTGTCCAGCCTGTTTCTCTCTGCCTCTGCTCCGAGGGGCTGCAGTTACCACATTTACCAGAACATGAACATGCAGGTGACTGCCAGCATTAGAGTTAAGGGGAAAATGTCAGCTGGGAGTTCAAGCCAGAGCTGTTCCCTCTGGCAATTCAGTCAAACAGACCCGTGAGAGAGGAAGTGGCTTGTCAGAATCCATTGCCTTCTGCCCTCCTGGGATGTGCTGTGTTTTGGAGCCACTCTGTTTTCCTCAGAGGGATTACCAGGCCTTTACCCTCCCGTGAATTTCCCCAGGGCTCTGTTTCTGTGTCCAGGAGGGTGCTCAGGGATTAGCCTTCCTCCCAGGAAGAGGCACAATCCCTAATGCACTCTAAGTTCCTTAGCACCCCAGTCCATGCTCACTAAGCCTTAGATACTCTCAGAACCTGAATCTCTCTGTGCTATCCCTGTACTATCCCCGTCACTGGATTTGTGGTCCTCAGATGACATCAGGATTTTTTACTTTCCTCCTCTTTTAGCTGCATCTGGGCCTCTTGCCCCTTCTGGAGCTTTGTTCATCATTTCCCTGGCTGCTGCCATTCAGAGGTGCCTGGTGCCTGTATGTCCCTCACCTGCATCACAGGTTCATCACACACCACTTCCCTCACACAGCATCTGCCAAGTGCCATTTCCTGGGTTTATAAACTCAGCCAGAGAACAACAGCAACAACAACAACAAAATGAACAAGAGAGAAAAACCTGCTTTCCCAGAAACATCTGTTTTTATTCAATCACATCTTTAACCCCAGAAACATTCATGTACTCGAGGCCTGGTTGTCACACATGAAGTAGCAGAGCCTCAGAGGGACCCGGTAACAGAGGCAGAGGAGGTGGCAGAGACTCCTCCCTGGGCAGCAGCAGCCAGGAACCACCTTGAAAGCTGGGGAGAGTGCTGGGGTAACTTCCTTCTCACTTTTCCAAGGAGCTGCTCCAGCACCCACCGAGACCTCAGAGCTTACAGTCTTTGCTTTCAAAACTCTCATGTTTTGGCCCCAAACTGGTTGAGCTCTCTAACCCTGGGGCTCTCTTGGGGCCAACATTTCCCGCTCCTTATGCACCTGCTGTGCCTTCAGCTTCCCACTGAGATGGGATGGGCAAAGAGGGCCCGAGTGCTCGGACACACGTGGGCAGTGCATACTCAGCCTGGCTGGAGCAGCACAGACGGACTCAGCCACACTGCCCTGCCCTCGAGTTTGATCTCTGAAAGGAGTGGGATCTGTCAGCTCCCTCTGAAAGCAGCTGAGAGCAGAGGCACAGTCAGCAGAGTGTTTTATCTTCACAAGGTTTGTCAGCTGATTGATCACACTTCAGTGATTTGGGATTCCCCCTCATTTTGATAATGTTGCTTCCTTTTTTTTTTCTCATTAATATCTCAGAATTTAGGGGCATTGCTGGACATAACCTGTCCTTCTCCACATTACCAGGCCCATGTCCAAAGCCTGCTACTCAGGTTTTTGTTTTCTTTTCAGAAAGCCGCTGATGCCCCTCACTCACAGCTCTGCAGAAGCAAAGGGAGGGGTTGCAGCTGAGTAAAGGAGCTGGAAATGAAAACATGCCTGAACTCTGCTGGGAAACAGTAAAGATCCCAAAGGGCACTGACTCCCAGCCCTGTGACAGCTCAGGTTGTTGTTGCTTGGTATCACAGCCCAGTTCCAGGAATAGTGTTATTAAAGAACAACAGGAAATACACAGCAGAAAAAGCACAGCCCCTTCAGCTCATTTGGGTCCGACTCCAGCCTGGTTCCCTGGGGTGGGGAACACCAAACTCGCTCGGTTCCTTCAGCCATCCCCACCTGAGGACCCAGCACAGTCAGGTCTCAGACAGGGGCACAGGGAGCAGGATCTGTGCTCAGGGGTCTTGCTTGGCTGTGCTTATCTGCCAGGGTTTTAGGGCATTTCAAATGTCAGGGCAAAGATCCCTGTCCTTGAATTCCCAGCTCTGCACCAGCTCCACCTTGAGAGCACCTTGTAGCTGTGACTATATCGCTGCAACAGAGATTTAGCACTAAAAATATAAATTAGAAAAAAATTCTCTCATAACCCCACACTTTCTATTGAAGCTTTCTGAACCCCTTGATGTGCATCTGAGCTGATCCCGAGCCAGAGACCAGGGGGATGGTGGCAGTGCCCAGTCCCTGGCTGTCACAGCCCCCACAGCTCAGTGTCCCCAGGTGAGAAACGTTCCCCAGGCACAACTCAACACATCCCTGAGTGGCCAGGGAGGAAAACTCCACCTGGCCACACACACCCCCCAGGACAGGGGGGAGCAGGGCAGGGGCTGTGCCCGAGGATGTGGCTGTATGGACTGGGTGAAGCACAGCAGGGGCCACCCCAGAACACAGGACTGACACCTGGGGACACAGGGCCAACATTTGGGGACACAGGGCCAACATTTGGGGGCACAGGACCAACACTCGGCTCCATCTGGTCCTTGGGGGTCTCTCTCTCTCTCTGCTCATTAGGGCAGGTGGAGAGGCCCCTCCTGTAAAGGTTTAGTCACTGCTGTGACTAATCACCAGTTCACTGGGATGCTGAGATAAGGAAGGAAGATTGGAATGCCCAGTTAACTGAGTTATTGTCCCCACTCTGGGAATATAGGGCAACTTGTGATGGGTCTTATCTGTCCTTACCTATGTCACTTCTAAGGATACTCCAAAAGCAATACAATACTGTGAAGAATGTTTAGGTTGCATTAGTTCTTTAATATTTACCAAACATCTATGGAAAGCAGCAATGTGGTTTCTCTTCAGATGGATTCTTTACATTTAATGTCCATAATGTTTATTCCCTCCAGTCTTTACATTTCTCACACTGACTGGCAGTGGGTTGGGCTGAAGTTATTTCTGAACCAAAGCTGCTGCTGGTTCCTGCTCTTTCACAGATCATGCACTGCCTCAGTAAGAGGTTATTTTACTGTTAACTCTGCCAATTACACAGCAGGATCACCTGGGAGTAACGATGACCCCAGTCAGGTTCATGGCCATTAAACCACCCGTCTGCTCACTCAGCTCCCATATATGATACCATTAGCAGGCTGACTCGCCCACAGAAGTTTCCAGTTGCCTTTGGCTTGTGTTTCCACAATGAGAATTAAAAAACACTTCCATGGAAGATGCAGAAAGCCACAGATCCGCTGTGGTCAGTGGGACAAAACACAGGATCACAAACAGCTCTTTACAGATGACATGGAAGATGATATTGCCACTCCACATCCCTCAGGAGGGTACTGGCATCCTCAGGAAGGGCTGTCTGTATCACCAGCTCCAGGGACTGGCACAGCAAACCAGGGGCACAGAGAGGCTCAGCTTTACCTGCAGCTGCAGATCCCTGTCCTGGTGTTGGCAGTGGGGCCTGATCCCCCAGAGGATGACACAGCCCAGCTCATCCCCTGATGGAGGGTTCTGACAGCAGGTGCCAACTGCCAAGACCCCCAGAAGGATCTTTTTTCCTATACAGTAACATATCTTATCCTGAACTAACACACAAATAATACACAGGAGTGACTCAAACTGGGTTGTGATGGGCTGGATGTTTACACTTACACCAAGCCTGCCATTCCACCTCCAGGGGGATTGAGGATGGGGCTGGGATTAAGGGCACACTCCCATCTCCAGATCCTGCCAGGCTGGCTGTTTAGAATCAGCCCTTTCCATCCTTTCAGCTGACCCCACTCGTGCTGTGTGAAGGTGCCAAGGCAGCCCTGCAGTCCCTGCCAGCAGAGCCTGGGAACAGGAACTCCCAGGGACGGGTCACCAGCGCAGCCACGTCCCGGAACAGCAGCAGCTCTCTGTGGGTGGGTGTGTGCCAGGCGCTGCAGTGGTGCCAGGGCAGCAGGGACACGTCACTGCCTCTCACTGCACAAGGCAATGGAGGGGAGCAGCTCCCCTGACCAGGGACAGGGCCTGTGTGTGAGGAAGGAACACACACACACTCCAGAAGCCCCTGAAGCAGGAACCCTGTGCTGAGCTCCAGGCAACAAGTGCAGGCTGAGAAATGAAGAACAAATTCCTTCTGGGGGTCCCCCCTGCAGAGGATCAGCAGAGCCCCTCCTCAGGCCGTGGGACATGGCTCAGGTGGCTCCAGAGGCACTCGGAGGCAGGACAGGGTGGGATCCCAGGGATGCACACAGCAGAGTCCTCACACTGGCACGATGAGCTGCCTGGGGGCCTTTTGCAGTCAGATGTTTTGCTGGAGCTACAAGGACTTTTCTGTTTGGTTTTTTTTCAACACAGGAAGGGATTATTTGGGAGTTCATCTGTTTCCCACCCCAGGCCTGGAGGTCAGCTGCAAAGGGAAGCTGGTGGCTGCAGCACAAGGAGAGGTAAAAAAAGCTTTATCTCAGTTTTCTACCTGTTCCTATATCCCTCAGGTAACTTGACTTTTCTTCTTCCCTTTCCTTCCCAGCCAAACAAGAGGAAAACCCCTGTACAGCACAAATGCCACATCCAAGAAGACAACGATCCCCCCAGGCCTTTACAGCTCAGTGAACATTTCCCTGCAGGCACCAGAGGACATGGTGGGGCCACTCCCAGCAGGTGAGCCAGGCTGAGCCCCTCCTGCCACCCTTCTCCCCTCCTGGAGGTGACACTGCCAGCCCAGGCCATAACACGTTTATCCACACAAGGGGCTGGAGGTCACATCCAATTCTGCCTCACAGCAAGGGCAGCACAAACCTCCACTGTTGGCTGGTGAACAGCCAGGGCTGGAACCCAATTCAGCCATCCCAGGTCCATCTGCCTCCCTCCAGGGGTAACCAGGGCTCTCCTGCCCCTGGGAAATGCAATTCCAGAGCACACAGGAGCTGCAGCAGCAGTTCCTCGGGGAGGGATTGAGTGTAACAGTGGGACAGGGTGGTGGATGCCCTGACAGAGCACAGGGGCAGGACCAAGCCACAGCTCACAGCATTTACTGACAGCACAACTGGTTTCAGACACACCCCGAGAGCAGGCTGAGCTGTTGAGGGCTGGGAGGAGCTGGTGGAAGTGGAATGATGACAAACTGTCCCGTGTGCCACAGCCACAGCTGCCCCAGGCAGGCACTGCAGGGAGCTGTGCCCTGGCCTTGGCATCCCAGGGGAGATACTGCAGGAGTGCACATGGAGCTGTGCCCACGGGTGCTGCCCTGGCATTCCCAGGGGAGATAACGCAGGGATGCACAGGGAACTGTGCCTGTGGGCACTGCCCTCGCCCTGGCATCCCCAGGGAGATGCTGCAGGAGCACACAAGGAAGCAGTGCTGGGCCTCAGAGATGTCCTGGCTGGGGCTGTGCCGGGCGCTGGCAGCGAGCACACACCCACAGCTCATCATTCTTTACAGGCTGGTCCCACTGAGGAAGTTCCAGGCTCTATTTTTACCTCTAAAGTTTAAATAATGACAATTTTTATTTTCCTCTGCTGACCCCTTCCTTTCCCAGCAGCCACTTGAAAAGCTCAACTGGTGAAAAAGGGCAAGAAATGTGTTTTCCTCTGTCACCAATGGTTAATTCCAACGATGCTGCTCCACACAGGATGTCAAACATCACAACTCTGTTCCAGTCACAGCTCTGAGAATATTTCCTCCCTTTAGGCAAATGAAGGCTACAAAGGAAATAATATGCTCATGTCATAAACATCACAAACTATGAGGAATATAGATCTTTGGAGGGAAATGCATTCATCAGTTCTCATTATCCTATAAACTGCACCAGGAAAACAGTCCACAGTGTCCATTCCAACACACATCTTCCCACAGGAGTCACTGTACAATCTACCTTCTACTTTGCACCCCAAGTTCTACAAGTGGTCAGTGAGGATATACAACAGTTCTACAGAGAAATCACTCCAGTGGATACAGAAACGGGCCCTTTTGGGGTTAAATAAGATTTTCAATAGTTCCACAATGCTACATTCATGCTACCAAGTTCACTGAATTGGGATTTCACTTCAGGAAAGAGAAAGGAAGAACAGTTTGTCTGTCTCCAGTTAGGAGGTGAAAGGGTCAGAAAGGGAGAGAGTTTCATGTCAGCATTTTAATCCTCCCACAACCATTTCCTTCTCCAGATAACGTGACTTTGTGCTTCCATTGCACCTCTGGCTCCCACCTCTCACCTCAGAGCTGGTGGGAGCCACAACATTAAATAGTAATTGGCATAAATTTTGGGTTCTTTTTTTTTTTTTTTTACATCTGGCATTTCCTTCCAAAAGCTACAGACTGGTGCCTGTTCTTCCCTTCACTCCAAGTCTGGCAAACCTGAGTCCAGGGATGAGATGTGGCTCCCAAAGCTCCCGAGGTCAGGGCAGCTCCCAAGAGCTCCCAACCAGGGGGAGGCAACAGCCCACACCTCTTTGGTTCAGTATGTGGCTTTCAACAACTTTAAACCATCCCTCTCCACTTATTCCTCTCCTTACGTGTATGTACATTATTTCTTCAAAATAGTTTTGCTATAAAACTGCCATAAATGTAAAGGGTTCAGCAGTTCTAGCCAGGGACCTGCTCCCCAAAATCACAACCACAGGGGGAGGAGGACTCTACAGATCAGAACAAGTAGTTCTTTTTGTAAGTAGTTAAAAGAAGATTTATACATATATTTTCCTTCACTTCACAATCAACTAATTTTAGATAACAGGAAATCAGGAAAACAAGGTAATCCTTCCCTGTTACTTCTTTTGCTTGTAAAAGAAGTAATTTGTGTCACCTCTGAGAATTGCCAGTGACCTACAGACTCTAAGTACTATTTATCCTCTGAAAGGACAGTAGAATGTGAAAAAAAAGCCCTTCCCAAAACAAAAAGCACCCCCTGACCTGACCAAACAAAAAGTAAAGAGATTCCAAAATTTATCATCAAATATCAAGACCTGGGTTCTCAGGTCTGACAGAGCTTGGGGTTTTCTCTGTCCTGCTCAGGAAGGGAAGGGAACAGCTCAGACCAAGAAACAGGTCTTTCAGCAAGGAAAAAGAGGTGTTTTATGCACAAACAACTGGCAATCAAGTGAACACAGGGAAGATTCAAACTCATGCTCCAAACCTGTTCCTCCAGAAGCATTTCTCCCGAATGCCTCAGTGCACAGTCCCCTCAGAGGGGTCCCAACAGCTGCTCCTCGTGGCAGGTCGGGAAGGGAGCTCAACTCCCAACACACGGCAAAGCACTGGCATGAACAGGTAATTACCATGGCTATTAATTTCTAATTCATTTTTATACCACAGAGGGCCTGACAGAGGCTTCCCCAGCCAGGCCCCATATTCCTAACCTAAAGTATTTCAGCAAAACTAAAGTCCCATAGTTTTGCAAGCAGCAAAATAGAAAGTAATAAAGTTGTGGCTAATTGGAGGAGAACTATACATTCGTGAGAGCAGGTACAGTTAGTGCAACACAGCTACTCTGAAAGGAAGGAACCAAACCAATGCAGCAGACATGCAGGGTCTGCCAAGTTATGTTAAAACCATGTTTGCTGGTGATTAAATATGTCTACAGAAGATATATTACCAATCTGAATATATTTTCAAGCAGACCAGAAATACCTCATCTATTGGTTATGGTGTGTTATTTTTTAACTAATTAAATATTGGGAGGGATTTTTACCCCCACCCTTTGCTATAAAAATTGCACTTATTTTCTATTAAACAAAACAAAACAAAAAAAAGAAGATTTCAATTCTATATCCCAGTATATATTCACATGGAAACTGGGTTGTCTTGCTCTAAGCTTGCAGGAGTAGGTGTAGCAGTCCTTGCTCTCCGAGATCCTCAGCACAGAAGGTCCCAGCAGTACAACCCCCTCCTCCCTCTGTGCTCTGGTGACTTCTCCATCGTAGTGCACGGGTAACTGGGTTTATTTTTTTTTTTGTAAGAAAACCTGAGCTTCAAAAGTCTTTAAAAGGACCTGGAATCAAATCTGGCCCATTCTGACCCAAAACAGCTCAGTTCTGCCAGGAACTCCATCCTGTCCTCGTTGCACACAGCTCCTCCTGAGACCCCAGGGCTCGGACTGGGGCCAGCCAGGGTCACCCCCTTTCCCTCCAGTCTCTCTTGACCCAGGAGACTTTCCTTGGACACGCTTCCGAGGGCTCCTCCTCCCCTGCCTTTAGCACTGCTGCTCCCGTGGGGCTCTGAAGGGCTCCCTGTGCCAATAAAAAAGTCTCTCTGCAATAAGCATGACTTCTTGGACACTGGTGATGAGCTTCCTCTTGCAAAGTCTTCTCCAGCTCATAAAATGTCATCGTAATCCAATAGTTTCGAGTGCTGGCGGGTCTTCCAGAGGCGGTAAAGGCGGAAGTCAAAGTAAGTCTCGATCATTTGCTTACCTAGAAGTGAAATGGAGCAGAGGGGTCACACCCTGCAGCACGAGGGACACAGGGGAGAGGCCACAGCACCACAAAAAACCCAGCAGGTTTTTTTCATGGGCAGGGCACAGGAACCCATGCAGACACTTCCCTGGGGGAACACTGGCACTGGGCACCTGCCCCGGGGCACGTGGAGGTGCCCGTGAGAACCAAACATCTTTTTAGGTCTCCTCGACCATGAATGGCTCCTTGTAATCCCCTGGCAGGGTTTGTCCATGGGGGAAGGAACTGAGCACAAAGTCTGTCTCCAGACTTTGACCTCTCTGCTCTGAGTGCTGAGCTGGGGCCAGGGGCTGGGGAGGACCAGCCACAGGGACTTCAGAAACTACAAACCAAGAGTTAACTCATTGTAAAGACTTGTGGGAAACACTAAAAATAATTAACATTGAAAATTCGAACAAAAATATGTCTTTTTTTTTTTAAATTACCAGGCCATCTCTGTGCTGCAGGGCTGTCTCTGCTCCCAGCAATGAGCTCACAGGACACACCAGTGCCAGCTCTGAGCCCCTCTGATCAAAGGGGGGTCTCACAGGCACTCACAGATCAAGGGCAGTGCCCAGGAGGCAGTGGGTGCATTGGAAAATGCAAGGGCAAACAACCCTGCACTCAGACAGGGCTTAAGGAGGGGATTTTCTCTTGTGAGGCCTGATTAAGATTAGTTTTAGATGACTTTGCAAAGGATTAGGAGGGTACAGTATTACTGCGTCCCAGACTGACCAAGGGGATAAATTCAGCCGTGTTCTTCAGCCCTCCTGGAAGATCAACTGCTCAGTGCCTGCACACAGAGCCCACTGCCTGCCTGCTGAGCTGCCCACAAACCTGGGAATCTCCCTGCAAGCTGCTCTGGGACACATGTCCAAGCATGTTCACCGTGGGATCTCTGCAGGCAGGGGGTACAGCTGCTCCAGACCTTGGCAGGACACACAGAGAACTGAGAATCTGGTTTAGTAGAAAGTGTCCCTGCCCATGGAACTGGATGAGCTTTAAGGTCCCTTCCAACACAAACCAGCCTGGGACTCTGTGATTCCATGAACTCTGTGCAGCACCAAAGTGCTCAACTCCTGCACATTCCTGAGGGAGAGGGGAGTTAAGAATAACCCAGCAGTGCTGAGGCCAGCTGGGAGCAGCTGAGGAAGCACCCACAGCCTGATGCTGTGTGGTTTTATTTGCCAAGAGAACAAAGTGCCAAGGAATACAGCAAACACAAAAAACAAGGGCAAATTCAGAATCTGCTGCTTGTGAAACCTCACCAATTACTGACACTTGAGCAGAGAACAGGAAAAATCCTGTAGCCCCTTGAAACATCCTGAGCTACAGGCAGAAAAGGGAAAAAAAGCCAAGAGACTGAGCTGTAGAAAGGCTCTGATGGGTCATATCCCAGTTGCTTGTTGATGACACAACTCTTTCAGTGCCAGTGGTCTGAGCCCTGGAGAACCTGGCTACAGAAAAGGTTCTGCTCCACGTGCATTTCTCCCACAGATTCCTCATGTCCAAGTATTGACAGTTCTCCTACACTCAGCTTGGAAAGCTGCCTACTTTGCACTGCCAGTGGCCTGGGACAGGGCTCTGCAGCCTCAGGTACAGGACAGATGAAGTGTGAACATGGAGGAGCTGTGAGGGGAAACCCAGGAAAACACGGTGGTTACAGGCAAAACAAAGACCATGGCAGGACTTAAGGGAGCTCAAAACTGCTTTTTCAGGAAGATGCCCCCCTGAAGGAGGCAGGCTGGTTAGGAGGGTGTGTGTCTTTGTAAAGAAAATAAATTACCTTGAGCTGATAGTTCAAGTGGAGACTCAAAGGCAACCCTATAAGGATTCATTAAGTTTTTCAGATTCTGAAATAGCTGAAAGGAAAATATATCAAAGTTAGCAGCTGAAAACAGAGATGACTCCTGGGGACCCAGAATTGATCCAGAAGCTCCTACCTTCTCCCCATTGGGGTTTCCAAGAACATAGCAGCCCATGATGTGGATGATATTTGGTTCAGGATTGATTTTACTCATCAGCCGGCTCAACCTCTTCCAGAAGCTGGAAAAAACAGGAAAAAACAGAATACATAACTAAAATATAAAGTATCTCTCCTCATAGGCATGATTTATCCCAAGGATGTGTGCACACACCACTCAGAAGGGTGGTCAGGAAAAGCCATTGGATCTTAGACAAGGAAGAGCAGTGGCAGAGCAAGGGCCTGAGGAGCAGGTCCAAGTCATGTGCCTGAGAAGGAGGAGCAGCCCACTGAGCCAAGGAAGCTCCAAGGTGAAGAGAAGGGAGCAAAGTCCACCAGGAGTGCTCTTAGAGTGCCAGTTTTACTAAGCATCCCCTCCAGTTTCCTCTCTCCCATTTCTATCAACAACTGCCCTTTCTACTCACCAGTGTTCTCAGTGCACTGGTTCATTTCCAGGAAATCAGAAGGGAGCAGCTGGAGAAGTTGTTGTTCTCCACAGCTACAGGGGCAACACAAGACCAGGCTGCTCCATGTCAGCCTGTGCTTGGTGCTGGTCACAGTCAGACCCAGTTTAGGTGTTGTGACTGTGACCAGGAACCTGGTGGGATGTGAAACACAACCCTGGGCAGAGGGTTGGAGCTGGGGGGGCTCTAAAGCCCAGCAGTTCCTCCATGGGTTTCCCAACCAGCCTGCAGCCTCAGGTTTCCTCAGGACAGCCTCCCAAGGAACACACAAGCTGCATGGAGGCATTCACTGCCAAGCTTCCAAATTTTCAGCTGTGTGTTCACAGCTTTCTGAAGATCCCTGATTTATCAGCTTGGGAGCAGTTATGATGCCTGGAATGTGTTCAGAATTGTGTTATGTGCACAAGTGCTCAAAGATTTTACAGCCAGTGTTTGTGCCAGAGCACGGGATTGCTGAGCAGATGTTGATTTTAATACTCAGTTCTCTCGCCAACAAAAAGTTGTGTAGGAACAGGTTGGTGTAACATCCTCTCCCCCACAGCCAAGCACCATTAGCCAAGGACGTCTGAGCCAGCAAAACTGAGTAGGCAGCAAAGCAGGCAAAGCTTAACTCTACAAGGAGAAGCAAAATTGCCTCAGCAATCCCAGCTCACAGGCTGGCATGTTAGTGAAAAGCCTCCTCAGTAACAGGCTGGACTTTGAGCAGGCTTTGCAGAGACAAATTCCACTTCCCCCTGACCAGAGACAGCTGTGGGGGAACACTCTGGATTTCTGCCACTGGTGTCTGCTCAGCAATGCTACTGCAGCCACTGCTGAGCACCAGAGGCTCGAGGGGCATGTTCTGGTTTCTGGTCAGCACAGCCTTTGTTAGGAGAGGAAATACCTTTTTTTTTTTTTTAATCTTTTGATAGTCTCTAGTCCAGAGAGACACTAAATAGCAGATAGAAGCACAAATCTGGTGACCAGGGCTGCAGCACCCCAGGGATGAGCTCAGCTCTGTCACCTTTGCATCTCCCCCTGAACGAGCTTCAACCTGCTGACAGCCCCTCCTCAGCCTCCTCATCCCCTGAATAACCCACCCCAGCTCCCTTCACCTCTTCTGCTTGGCCATGTGCTGCAAACATTGAGCAAACCCAGCAGGAAAACTCCATGCAAGTCCAGAACACAACAGAGCCACTCACAGGATCAGATCTTCCTCCTTCTCCACTTTGGCGAAAGTGGCGACTTTGTTCTTTAACAGGTATAAGTGCCCGGGACCTCCCTGCAAGAGAGACACAGACACGTGGAAACCCCTTTGCACAGGCCCCGGGGATAAAAATCCTGGATGTATTTCCTGTCCTGCCCAGCCATTCCCGGAACTGCCACAAGGGAGCAGGGCAGCCACGCTGGGAACCCTCCGCAGCAGGACACATCCACATATGGGGAGTGGGGGGGTTGGATTCTCCAGTTTTTACTGTTCTGTGCCCACCTTGCTCTAGAAAGGCACAATAATAGACGAAAATCGTCGGTGTGAGTCACTGGAGAGTAACAGGGAAGACAAGAAAGTCTGTGTCGTTTGGGGACAAGGGACATCCCCTGTCACTGGGGGACCTGCCGGGGTGGGCAGAGGAGAAGCTGAGCACAGCAGGGATAAACAGGAAAGGGATGATGGCACTGCAGAGGAACTGGCCTTGGGCAGCAAAAGGCATAAACAGACTGAGCACAGCACCAGGAACATTAAAAGCCACAATCTCTAGGTCAGTGTGCAGCAAACCTGCCATGCTGCAGCACAGGGGACACGGGAGGGAGTTCAAGTCAGGTTTCCTTCCTCATTTCTCATGTCAAGGTTCCCTGCACAGCTGCTGGGGAAGTCCAAAGCTGACCACCCTGAGGAACAGGAGACTTGGGAAGGAAATCCCCAGCAAGCCACAGATCCAGCAGGGCTTGAACCTGTCCAAGCCACAGCTCCAGCCTGTACCCTGACCCCTCTCCTGCCTCCACTGGCCTCCAGCTCCCAGCTGAGCCATCTGCCAGTCTGATCCACAGCTTGCACCACTGTCACTGTCACACTGGAACCGGATGGAAACCATAACCATGACAATGCAAATTCTTGTTCCTGTCTCTGGAATCCCCTTTCGAGGTCTGTGCTGATGCTGGTTTGCCTGGGGTTCCTCGAGAGGAGCTGAGAACCAGCCCAGCTCTTGACCTGGCCTCCCTAAATCAGGTTTGAGTTCCTGCTGTCACAGCAACTCCAGCCTGCTCAGTGTCTGGGAAATGGGAAGTGAAAGCTGGGCACTGGCAGTTACTTCAATGGAACCTGACTTTGGAATATTGCTTCCTTCATGTCATTCTCCCTGTAGAAAAAGACAAATTTGTAAGAAATCATCCAAGCACTTAACAACTTTCACATACCTGGCAAAATATCAGCATCTTCCAGATTTTGCAGCCTTTGCGATAAATGTTAAGTTTCTTCTCTATTTCCTCTGCAAAAAAACCCCAAACATGTTGGAAAATATGAACCATGGAGGAGGTTAAAAATCAATCTTATTTCTTTCCACTTCAGTCCTGCAGGCAGGAGGCTGAGCTGGGAGAGCTGCTCAGCACCTACATGCCAGGGATGCTGTGGGAAGCAGGAATCCCAGTGTGTCACAGGGCAGAGGAGGGATGGTGCAGCACCAGGCACTGCTCTGACCATGGCACTGGAGCAGAGCCAGCCCTCCTGACCCTGTTCATGCTCCCACCCACCACACAGGTGCAATGAACAGGTACCTGCTGCCCTGTGCCTCAGTTTCCCTTCCACAAACCAGGAGTTTGGCATAGAAAACGAGCCACAGAAGTGAAGGTTTATTACAGCAGCACATCCAAGAGCAGCTGACTGTCTGTCATGTGTCACTGGGGTGGCAAAAACACCTTTATGAGTGGCAGCTGAGGCACAGGGCAGCTGAGTGACTGACACATTGATGGGTTACATTCACAATGGGCAGGAAGCAAGAAAAGGAAATAACACTCACGTACCTAAGATGTCATCAAAGGTAGCATGTTCATGGTCCTGGAAACCAAGACAGAGGACACACAAAGGTTCACTGTCACTACATCAGCTCCCATGACAGCATTATGGTCTCTAATATTGCACACAATCCCATTCCCAGGCCAACAGATGCTCTAAGAGCAGTTACACCAACTGAAGGCTGGTAGTGACAGCACAGCAATCACCACCCTAAATCACATTTCAGCACAGAAGCTGAAGGCTCAACTGCCCATGAAGACCAAATCCACCCAAAGGCTTGGAGATGAAGGCTGCAGACACATCCAAAGCACAGACTGTCCATCAGATGCAGTCAGCACCAGCAATGCCTATTTGCCTCTTGGCCCACATTTTGCAGCCAGTTTTCCCCACGTCCAAGCTGGTTGACAAACAGCCCAACACAGTGCCTCTGGCACAGCAGGATCATCAGGACAACTGCACAACTCCCCAAGGAAGGGAGGCAGCAAGGCTGAGCCCCCAGCAGCACTGCCTGCTGCACACAGGGCTCTCTGGGCTGTCAGTCCCACCTTCCCTTTCAAATTAAGTGAGTAAGTCATTAGGAAAAAGAGACCCATGACTCCTTCCTGCTGTTTCAGACACCTGCTCAGGCCAGATTCCCAGAGAAAAATCAGAGTTAAATTAGTGACTGGCAGGGATGCACCACAGCACATGGGGTGATGGGGTTTGTGTTCACTGCTGAGCTCTGAAGTCCTGCTCATCCCAAGGATGAGCATAAGGAGGAGCCCTAAGCCTGACAATGCAGAGCTCTGCCTGTGATCCAGCCTGCCCTGCCTTCCCTTGATAATCTCCCCATGCAGTTTGGCTGGGCCTGAAGAGCCCAACAACTCCCATGTGCCATTTTCACTCCACCTTCCTGTTCTGCCCAGACCTGAGCCCCCACAAAGCCACCCCAGACCCCAAAGCTGGGTTCAGCACAGCCCCAGCCCCTCCCTGGCAGTTCTTCCAAATCACACCAGTGCTTTGGAGAGACCATAACAGGAACTATAAAATAAAAAGTTCCCAATATGAAGCCTGTTCCCAGCCACAGCAGAAGGGATTTACTTACATAGAGGATGGGGATGATGGAGGGGTCGTCCCTGCGGATAATGGTTGGGACATACTCTGCTTTGGGCACCTTGGAAGAAATGAGCTGGAAGAGATAAAAAAAAGGTGCAACAGCATGAGGAGAAGGTAGTACAGTGTGGACAGAAGCACATAATCCATGCTAACAGTGCCCTGGCAGCTAATCCAGCCTCTCTGCATCCCTGTGGAAGGTATTCCAGCCTTTGTTCCACCACAGAGCATCCCAGGCCTGCCAAGTACCCCCTGTGTCACCATCTCCTGGACCCCAACACGGGAGCACACAGCTCTGCCTCACAGGCAGCAGAGAGAACAGTTTGGGAAGGGGAGGCTGGTGCGCACAGAGGACGTGTCACCAGGAATGGCTGTATCCCCAGGAATGGCTGTATCCCCAGGAATGGCTGTATCCCAGTAAGGATCCCTCCTGTACAGCCTCCCTTCTGGCTGTAGGGAGTGCAGGGAGTGTTCAAAAGGCAGGAGTGGCTGTCTGCTGGCAGGACACTGCATCAGGCTCAGGGTCACAGGCATCAGGAAGGTGTCTGGCAACTCTGGCTGAAGGTTCAGGTGGCTCCAGCAGCACCAGAGCCCCAACTGTGCTGTGATTCCAGGCACCTCCATTCATCCCCGGGAGAGCAGAGCAGGCAGTGCTGCTGGTGGACTGGGAAGTGCAGCCTGGCTTCCAGCTGGGGCTGGTGTCCAAGCCCCCCATCCCAGTAGGCAGCACATCTGTGCTCCAGCCACATGGAGTTAAAAGGACACTTCTGAAGCAGCACAGGTTATATATATACATATATATATATATACACACTCCATACATATATATATCCAGGGATGGACAACCACCACACACACAGCCCAGGGTGACAGTGTGTAAAGGGTGGGCCAAGTCTGCACAGACAGCCTGGGAACACAGTCTCCATGTCCTTCACTCTTCCCAGATCTTAGCAGGACCCATTCAAAACCAGCACTGCTGTGCTGGACTGGCAGTGCTGCCCTGACAACAGGCTGGAAGCCTCAGACCCCATTTTGCCTCGTGCATGTGGCCGAGGAAGGGATGTGTGAGAACCTGGCCCTGTCTGCCAAACCCCACAGAGCAGAGCAGGGGAGCACAGGGGGAAGGCTGGAATCAAGCAAGAGAGAGAAACCATCCCAAGGAATGACATGCAGCTTCAAAGTAAATCAGGCAAGTAACAACAGGAGGGAGGGACTGCTGGGACTGGGGACTCAGGTCTCCATTTTCAGGGTTAAACAGACTCAGGCTGACTTGACTCTGTGTTGGTGTCAGTCCTGCTCTGATTTGGATTACAGGTCCTTCCTTCTAGTTTTCTGTCAACACATTAACCCCAGCAGTAACAGCTCTGAACACCGTGTCATGTCTTGGCTGATCTCTGAGTGACCCTCACACACACCTGAGGCATTGCCTACATAACAGACTTGCCTCTTCCCATGGAGACCCTAAACTTAGCTCTGAAAGGACAGACAGAGCCTGAGTAGATACAGGCAGCTGAGCTGGAAACCCTCACCATTATTTTTGGTGGAATAAAGTCTTCTCCGTCACATGCCATGGCTTCAAGTTCCTTTTCTGCTTCCCAGTTCAAGTCGAAGTCACCCTCCAGAGTGCCGCAGGAATCCTGAAGGTCATGGCCTGCCAGGACACAGGGAGCATTACCAGGGCAGAACGGCCTTCCCCATCCATCCTGGCAGCTTCCTCGCAGGAGGCTCCACAAGCCACCAGACTTGTGCCCTCCTGCCTTCCCCAGAGTGACAGACAACCACACTTTGGGGCTGGTGTCTCCAAACAGACAGACACGGAACGGATGGAGAGTGCACGAAGAGCTCCACACCACATATCACAGAGCTTCATCACCCTCACAGTCACCAGGCTCAGCTTTCACAACAGTCACCCCGTCATTCCAGAAACGGAGAAGGAGACAGAACACAGACAGGCTCTCTACACTTCAGCATTGCCAAGCTGATAAGCAAAAGTTCAAAGACTTCAAAGCTGGTCTCCTTGTAGTAATTACTGCTCTGACTACATCTTTTGAGGGATTGTAAAGCAAATCTGCCTTGTTGGTCAGACTGATCCTGGCAGAGAATTCTTGGAGCGTGCGTGAGGACAGCTGCAGCAAACACAGTCATAGTGCAACAGTGGACTTGAATTTGCTCTCCAAATTGACCTTACCTGTTGGCCTTCAATGCCTCCTGGGGAAAAAAAACATCTGGAAGGAATATAATTGACCATTAAAGGTTAAAAATAGAGATGGTTCCTGGACTGAGGAAAGAGAACTGAGATGCCTCTCTTTGTGCCTGTCGGGATGTCCGAGTGTCGCTGGGCAGTGCCTGGAGCCTGTCTGAACCATGGCTTTTCCATGTGCCTCTGGTTAGCTGAGGGAACAGGGAGGGATCAGACTGCCAAGCAGCAAGCAGGTCATGTTTTGAACTTGGCCTGCCTTTCACACACCTCCCCCTACAGCTAGCAGGGCCAGATCTCACGCTTACCTGGTAGGTCAGGTCATTTCATTAGTGAAATCCATTTCAACGTGGGCAAACTCATAACCACCGAGTTCCTGCCTACAGGCTTTCAATAAAATCTTTGTAAAACAGCCATTCCCTCTATAAGAATACAGTGGGAAGATGCTGGCATTTCCTCCTGTAAATTAGCACAACAGCATCTCAGTCCCCACAAGCAGAACGTGGCAGCACTACTGGGGATTCCCAGAGGAATTCCTGGCAGCCCAAATGAAGATCATCACCTATGAGGCCTGACCTGCGCAGGCAGCACGGCCAGGAAATCAAAGCTCCATCTCACAGAGCACTTCAGTTGTGTTCTGGAGCTACTCCAGCCTAGAGAAGAGCTCAGAAGGGGCTCCTGCATGGGAAGCCAAGTCAGCCCCACTCTGGTGAAGGTAGGTGTGGACTGGCGAGCTTCCAGGTGGGTTGTTTGGGTCCCAAGGAAATAAGGGATGATGGGAACAGAGGGCTGTAAGAGAGCTGTACCACTACTATCCTTTGGCAACTGCTTAATAACCTGAGGTTAGCTGGGTTGTGCTCTACAAACGAATAGAGGGACACACAGATGAACAGGTACATACACCTGGAGCGTTACGTGCTCCGATCTCAGGAAACTAAAAGGATCACAGACAGGACAGAAGGGCACAGAGGAGTTACTCCAGTGGGACTCCAGTCAACACCTCCACTGGAGGGTTTGCCCACAGGAGGAAGGACTCAGAACTCACTTTCTCGAGAGTCATGGAAGGAATCAGCTTTGATGGGAGTCGGGTCACTCCAGGACCTGCTGAAGCTCCTCTCACGCCGTTCGGCAAAGGCTAGGATAAAACCAGAGCAGGACATTAACAGATCCCAAAGCCACCTCTGCTGCTGCCACCAAACAAAACAGCCAGTAGATTTCCACCAAAGCCACACATCACAGACTCCCCTGGGCTTGTCCTTCCACTTGCCAAACGTGAGTCCTTTCCACACAGCAAACACGGGTCTCTCTTCTACACAGCCCAGACAAAGTGCCCTGCAGAGGACAGGGTGTGTAACACAGAAAGTGGATGCCACTTGATGGTCTCTCCTTAAATGGCACACAGCTCATACCTCAATTTAACAAAGCTATTCCGGTGTCCCAGTGTAAGTGCTTGGACTCAAAGGCCTCCCAGGAAGATGCACTGCACAGCTCTGTGACCTCTATGACCAGAAGAAGGCAGTAGTTCTCCAGGCAGTTCTCCCTTCATGTTCTTCATCCCTTCATCCCAATCTGAGCTGGACCAAACAGCAGGACAGGAATGTCTCTGGAAATCTCATGCTTTCTAACTTTCATTGCAAAAGAGGAAATCCTTCAGCCTTTGCTTGCCTGCGCTCTTGTGAGCACTACCTCTGGTTTGTTTTCTTTTCCCAAGGAGTATTGTACTGTTTGTGCTGGCATTTCCCAATCGGAATCCAGGGAGCTTGGCCCAGCTGGCTGCACCACAGGCAAATTCCTGGGAAGTGCCAACCACCATGTCTGACTTGGCAAGCCCATGTGAGAGCCATTATGCCGAGATTAACAGGCACTTACAGCCACTAATACCTATTTCTGGTGGCAGACAGGGAGTTTGCAGCAGGGTGTCGAGTAACAGCAGCACAGGAATCCACTGCAGGTCTGTATCATAAGAGCTGAGAAGCGACCTGTCCCCTCCTGCAGTGTGTCCAGGGTGGGTGTGACCTGTCCCCTCCTGCAGTGTGTCCAGGGTGGGTGTGACCTGTCCCCTCCTGCAGTGTGTCCAGGGTGGGTGTGACCTGTCCCCTCCTGCAGTGTGTCCAGGGTGGGTGTGACCTGTCCCATCCTGCAGTGTGTCCAGGGTGGGTGTCCAGGGAGAGAAATCACATCTTCAGTTCTTCAGGTGATCTCCATCCTCAGTTTGCATTTAAACCAGGCACTGAGGTATTGTGCACACAAAGAAAGCTTTGAAAACATGACCCCAGAGTTCCAGAGGCAGAGACATGCCTGAGCTTCCCCACAGTTCTGGGGGAGGTGAGCCCTGGCCACGTCAGGCAGTGCTAACTCAGATGCCAACAAAGACTCTGGAAAGGGCAAAGCTCTTTGCTGATCACTTCCCACAGCACATGAGAGAGGAAAGAACGCAAATTGAACTCAGCAGTGCTTTGCTGTGGGCAGTCTGTACACGATGCCTGGCCAGGGGTTGGGAAGAACAAGCTGTTTTCCATTCTGGAGCAATCCTCAGCTCTCAGGAGCAGGTTACACCACTCTCAGCCCACTTCACAGCGACAAGGGTGCTGCCCCAACCAAGTTATGAAGGCGTGTTGCCTTCTGCAGAGAAAGGGAACTGCCATTTCCCAGGCCTAAGAGGGGATTTCTTCCCCTGTGAGGCATAACACTCCCTTATTTCCCCCTTGCTCCAGTCTCTTCCCTGTTCTTCTTCCTCCCTTCCATCATCCTCTTAGCTCCCAGCAGGCAACTTTCCCCAGGTCCTGCTGTGGAGATGGCAGTGGGAGAAGGAGACAACCAGCAGCCTGCATGGCACAGGGAGCACGGAGCACCCCAGGAGGCACACCCCAGGTCCCAGCTGCAGGGGAGGCCAGGCAGTGCTTCCAGCTCTGCTCAACTCCCAGCTCGGGTTCTCCTCACAAGCCTCCACCAAAACCCACACACGGGGCAAGGATGCTGCAGCTTTCCTTCCATTCCTTGCACCAAAGATCTCCCACAGCCAAGGCAGAGGGTCCTTGGAAGTAACTTTCAGGCTGCTTGGGACATCCATCTGGGACATCCACGTGTCCCAGAGACTTGCAGCAACCTGGCCTTCATTTTTGCAGGATAATTGGCACCAGCAGGTCAAATCCTCTCTCCAGCCCAGTGCCAGGTCCTTTCCACCCAGAGCTGCACGTGACAGAGCTCCCCATGTCCCTCCAGCACAAACCCCAGCTCCTCACAGCCACAGCCCACAGGTGCTCACTTACTTTGTGCTTTAACCCTTCGGCTCCCCACCATGCGGAGGTGCTTCCGAAAATTCCTGAAAGAAAGGCCAAACACAACCTTTGAGGAAGGTGACACAGAACAACACCTGGGCCCAGCAGGACTGAAAAAACGGGAGGAACAAAACCAAAATGGGGATGATGGCGTATTTCCTTCTGGGCTTTCAAAAGCTGGAGATCAGTTCCCCAGCCTGCACCAACCCAGTGCTGGGGATGTTGTGTTTGCCAAGAGTGGGACTATTCTGAGCTCCCTGGCACGGGGCAAGGGGGGTCCTACATGGCACCCCCTGCTCTCAGCCCGCTCTCCCTTTCCTGTGACTGAGGCACAGCTGTGCTGTACCTTGCTGAGCGCACCCACTGCCCATGCTGGGAATGTTCCCTCTTTTCCTAGCAAAGAGCAGTGCCTGCTCCCCTCTATCCTGCTTCAGCAGGAGTGTGAGGTGCCCAGGTTCTGCACACACCATGCCTGTGGCTGTGCTCATCCCCAAACACTGCAGCTGCTAAGGTCCCACCCCTGCTGTTGGGAACCATGCTGGGAAGGCTGGAGCAGGCTGTCCCTCCTTGGACAGCAGCACTGAGCAGTGCTGGCTGTCCCCAGGGACCTGCTCTCTGCTGCAGCTGCCACCCCCACTGCCCTGCCCAGGACTCACAGGCAGGGCCAGAGGGGCTGCAGAGCACACAGCTCCAGGGAAAACCCATAGAGGGTAATCCCTGGGGAGCAGCTACACCCCACAGTCAGGTCTGTGTAAAACAGTGTCCTGGCCACGCCTGAGAGGCCGTGGCAAAGGGATTCTTTGTCCAGCCCCTCCGAGAGCAAGGGACCTGTTTCCTTTAGTTTCTCATCACTCACCAAGGCAGGAACAGGACAGGAATCAAACAGGACAGCAGAAGAGACAGAGGGAGGAGCAGCATGTGGACTATCAAGAGAAGTGTCACCCCTCCATGAACCCTACTTAGTCAGGGTGACTTCACCCCACAGTGCAGCCCCAGGATGTCAGGGAACCTACATGGAGTGAGGGAGCCTTCCTGGATTCCCTTCTGCCCCCCAACACACACCACAGACACCAAGCAACAGAGACTACAGCTGGTGAAAGGGGTCAATGCCAAGTTGTCTGGCTCACACACACGTTAGTGGGGTGAGTAGGGACATGTTACAACCATGCAGATGCTTTAGCACTGTACCAGGAGACACTTCCAGCACCAGTGTGAAGTTGTTCAGAGAAATTTGGATTCCTCTGCTCCTGTACAGGGAGATCCACACAAACACAGTCCTTGTGGGAGAGCACTTAACCCACATCACCCTCTGCACTTCCCCACTTAGGCCCTGGATCCCTTGTTGTCATCAGGATCCAAATTCAGCAGCTCGAGAAGGAAAACTAGCAGCTGGAAGCAACATGATTTCATGCCAAATTTCCATCTGCACTTGGGCTATTAATGTTTTCCAAAGATTTATTATATCTGTAATTGAGTACATGAAGAGTCACTGCTGTGGATCAGAAAACTACCCCTTTAGACACATCTACTGACACATCTGAGCTGGCTCAACACACAAAGCCTTCTGGGGTGCACCATGACTGATAGTGGGGTCTGTCCTACTGTGCATTAGATTCAAATCCAAATAAATACAACATTTTAAGGGAACCAGGGCTGCGCTTTACACAAAGAAAAAGTCTTAGATATATGTTATAACTCATCAGAATGAAAATCTTTGTGGTCCACTGTGAGCCCAAGACCAAACCAGACACTGAGCACCAATGTTAACTGCCAAGGCCACTGTTACATCCTTTGGGCTTTTGGTATTTTGGAGTGAAATCCCCTTTTTTGTTAAAGGCTCAGTTGTCCTCTCCACAGAGGAGATTCTTCAGACCCTGAGGGCAGAGGGGTAAATCAGTGTTTCCCACAGAAGAACGCTGCTCCCAGCTGCCTAGACAGCTTGGGCTCTCCCTTGAGAGACCTAAATACTGCTCAGAGCAGCTCAGGGAGAGTCCAGCTGCTCAGGGTTAACCACCACACTAAACGCTCAGAGCATGGGATGAAGAACTTTTGCTCCTTCTCGTCTCTTCTAGAAAAAACAGCACTTTGGAAAGGAGGTGCAAGCCTGGGACTGACTCCTAATGTGGGCATCCTGTGGGCATCCAGATCCTTCTGAGGGCTTTTTGCAGCTGTCTGGGTCCTCAGACCCCTCTGTACGTGCATGTCAGTCCAGCACGGCAGGACTGGCTCTGGGGAAGGTGCAACCTGCTCTGTGAGCAGTGGGGCTCCATAAACCTGCCCAGCCTTCCTGCCTGGCTCCTGCAACTGCACCAAAAACCCCTGTGTCACTTGATCACTTGCAAGATCTCTTCACCCATCACAACACAACCAGCAATCCTCAAGTTTCAGTGACAAAATCTCCTTGTTACTCCCTTTTCTGACCAGTGCTCCTCCTGACAGGCTCCAGTTTGCCTGACGGGCACGACCCCATGGCACCTCCAGGGTCTCCATCCCAGGTATCCCTCCAGGGTCTCCATCCCAGCCAGAGGGCCTCCAAAACACCACAGCCTCACTCCACACCCTGCAGCTCTGCCCACAGTGGGTCACCACACTGTGCAGAGAAGCCTTTTCTCTACCCACACTCCTGGCAGCAGCTCTCCCGTTCCCCTCCCTGGCTGCTCCTGCAGCAGGCACACGGTTCACTCTGGGCATCCCTGGGTGCCATGCCATGCACTCCAGCCTCCCTGGGCACCAGAGCCTTCCCTGTGTGCCAGGCCACACAAACCAGCCTCCCAGGGTCAAGGACTGAAGGGGTTGGGCAACAACAACTGAACCCCAAACCCCCCGAGGCCATGACAGGCTGCACAACAAGCACCCAGAAGTGAGGTGGGGCTGGGGTCTGCCTCACTCCCTGGAGAAGGGAGCTGAACACTGCCAGCAGTCCTTGTAACTGGGCAGGGTCTGCTTGCACATGGCCCAGCCAACATCTCATCACTGCTGTCCTCCCTCCTCTTTGGGACATGATAAACACAGATGTGCTCCTGCTGTGCAGCCCTGCCTGGACCTTCAGTGCAGGAGGTGAAGGGACATCCTGGCCACCCAACACAAGGATGAGGTGACTCCATCCTCTGCCCTCACCACACAGCACCACCAAGGCACACAGCTCCTGCTGCTGGACTCACAGCCCACATGAACAAGCCACTTCCTCACCAAGACTTGCCTCTGTCTTCCAGATTCTGAGAAATCTCCCTCTTTTTAAAGATCCACTGTCTATTTGTTGAGAGCCTCTTTAGTACTGATTTTTATTTCTCTTCATTCTTGTTTTAAAAAAACACACCACCCTTCAGCCGCTAAAAAAAAAGTCTGCCTGGCAATTTCCCAGATAAAAAAACCTGATGTTTTTCTCCCACTTGGTTTTGAGCAGTGAAGTCATCATGGCAGTTTTTAAGCAATGACACAAACACTGTGTTACCCTTTTTAGTAGGCTGCCAAAATACACGAGCCTTGGCACATTTAAAAAAACAAACTAGTTCTGATTCCCACTGTGGGTAAGTGATGTGCCATAGGAGGCTGCAGAGGGAAATCAGGCCTCTGTGTAATACATGGAAAAGGAATCAGTCCCCATCCCCCTTTTTTCCCTATTATTGAAAAAAAAAAGATTAAAAAACAGGCTTCTTGTCACTAGAGATGCTAATTTTGCCTAAGTTTCAGATTTTTGAGGTGCATTTGTAGATGCAGCAGCAGCACATAAAAGTATTCAGCTAACCTCAACCAAATCCTGCCCATGGCAGAGGAGTTGGAAGTAGATGATGTTTAAGGTCCCTTCCAACCCAAACCATTGTATAATGACATAAAATTCCAAGTATTTGGGAGAAGGCTGGGAAATGCACCTTTAATTTTTTTAATTTTTCTGCCTGAGACACAGATCATGTATATTATATTTCGAATGTTATAAGAAACTTGACAGTGTTCTTTAAGAAGATGGAGATCAGCTCTTCACCTCCACAGTTCCTACATGGCCCCTGCCAGTGTCCCTATGGACAGCACACAGACAGGGACACAGCCAATGCCATCAGGGTTCACTGCTGACACCCAAAGGGCCCATGCAACACCAGGCAGGGTCACAGCTCCGGGAGGGAAGGGGCCCTACCTCTGGATAACAGCTGCGGAATCATTCTCCCGTTTCCGTCTCTTCCTCTCTGCGTAGCCCCTGAACGCCCTGGGAAACCATTTCAAGCCATTAACCAACTCCACAGCTTTGAACTGCAGAGGACACGGAACACAGACAGGAAAGCTCTCAGCAGACAACAGAGACTGTGCTGCCCAGGGATGGACAGCCCTGAGTGCAGGGCAGGGCCAGGCAGAGCACTCACCAAACCACAGCTCCTCAATCCCCAGGGCAGGGGCTGGACAAGCAAAGATCAGAGCGTGGCCCAAAGACCAGGGCTGAGCAGCCCCATCCCTGCTACAGAGAATGGACCTGGGAGCTGCAGACACAGCCCCTCTGCACACCAGGACTGAGAGGGATAAAAGTGTGCCAACAACTGGGGTCTGCACCTCGAAGATGGGACGGTTGTGGTGTGATCCATGTAGGCCTACAGGTGTAGCCACCTAACCTCCTGCCAGCTGAGACAGCCCCTGGCACAGGGAAAGCATGAGTGGATGTGATGGACAGGAGAGGAGAGGAAAGGAGAGTTTATCCAGGACACCAACAGACAAGGAAATAAAAACTGAAGATTATACTTACGAGATGCTACAGATTCCAGGAGACGCAGGGAAAAAGAAAGAGAAGAGGAATTCGTTAGTGCTCAGCCCCAGCCAGCGTTCTGAGGGAATTCTCACTCCAGAAGGAATACTTCTTGTTAGGTGGAAGGAAATTGCTTTTGAAATTAAACACTTCTCAGTGGTGAGAACTCCAACTTGACAGAGCTTTATCCTCCCTGGGGCAGCGCTGACATGTGGCCTGGATGCCAAGTGAGCTCGACGCAGACCCAGAGAAAATGCAGATGTACAAGAGCTGGATGTGGCCCATCAGGGTGCACCTCCACAGGCTTCTGGAGCAGGGACAACACTGGAGCAGAGCCCAGGGATACCTGGGGAGCCACCCCAACACCTCAGGGAGGTGCCCTGAACTTCTGGAGATGTTTCTGTGCAGTTTCTGGAGGCAGCACAGAACCTCCAGAAATGGTAACCAAGGGCATTGTGCTCCTCAAGGGTTTCCTTAGGACACCATTCCCCAAATCTTTGGCCTTCAAGCCCTGTAAGCCCTGCCATGGGCCATCATCCTGCAACAAATCTTCTGCCCAGCAAATTTGCATTCAGAGAGCAAAGGATGTGCCCAAAGGCAATGTGCTGGTTTTGTGCATGGTTTGTGGGTCAGATCAGAACAGTAAAACACCATTAACTGTTCCCAGCCAACATTTTTAAAGAGTTTTTTTCTGGGGAATGCAGCTACTCTGCCCCTCAATGTTGGATCCATCCCTCCCTGCAGCAATCCTTACAGGTCTGATCCAGTCTGAGTTATCTCAAGATCAACAATCAGCCCCTTTTCAGGATTTGAGAAGGGAAAAGCATGAGGGAAAGAAGAAATATGAGAGAAACAGATTACAAAAAGGACACCAGATTAGACAAGAAGAAAACAGGGAGAGCAGGAGAGCTGAGGGAGTCCCAGACATTGGAAGAAGCACACAGGGGAAAAAGTGACAAGGCTGGAGAAGGGCCTTGGAAGGCAGGACATTGTCTCATTTTCCTCACTGCTTGCCTTGGCTTTCCAGTCAGGTAGGAAATAACTGAAGCCAGGAAGACAAAACTTCCTGACAAGTTGAGTACAACCTGGAAATGAGGCTTTCCTTTCTCCCTTCAGCCCTTTGAGAACTGTCTCCTCCCAATGCAAAAAAACCAGGGGCACCAAATCCTGCATGGAGTGTGGAGGGACAGGCTCTTCCAACTCACATCCCATCATACTTTGCAGGGATTTTAGTGATAACTTCTTCATACGACCAGACCAGTGCAGAACTGCAGGGCTACATCTTATCCCATAGGAAGGGGATGTCTCTGGAATGAGCAATGCAGGGAAAACCTGGAATAACCTTCCCTCGGGGAAGTGGGTGCAGCAGAAGGAAGTGATGGAGGGTCTCAGCTGGTGCTCCCAGAGGACCCTCCCTCTGCATGGCAGCCAGGGCCAGGGCAGTGTCACAGACAAAACAAGGGAAGCACAGAGAACTGAGTAGCCCAAGGAGTTAAAGGTGGTAAAACCAAATAAATGAGAACAATAGGAAAAAACTAATCAGTGGAAAAAAATCAATAAGAGACAAGTTTCTCTCTCTCTCACCCCTGGACTGTGATGCCAAACACACAACTGGAGGCTCTCAGACACAGCTCTGAGCAGGCTGTGGGCTCTGAGATCCACACAAAAAGGGTTTCACTTACGCTTGCATAGTTGTAGTAGCGGTGTGAAAACTGAAGAGGTTCTCCTTTGGGAACCAGGTTCGGATGGGGACATCATCTGGAAGAGACAGAGAGCAAAGCCTGAGCATCCAGAGGGCACAGACGTCCTTCAGACCGTCAGACTTCCCAAGCTCTTTCTCTTACGACTTTTTCTTTCAGCATCCTGCCCTGTACTGAGCAGGAGTCTCATCCTCCTCATATATATGCACACTGCCACCCAGTGCTCTGTAAATTGGTGCTAAGCCTGTCTATCAGGCTACTAAATGAAGAATAAAAGCTCTATCCTAAGTACAGAAGATTAGAGTAATCCAGGAATTACAGAAGTGACATTTGAACTGGGAAAAAAAAAAAAAAAAACAACAGCGGAAAGAAACATTTTTCATTAAAAGCATTTTCCAGTCTCTGCTTTTTCCTTTATACCGTTAATTTGAAATGTCCCATTCCTCCAGTTCTTTCTGATATAGCCTCTGGTAGAAGCCTCTCCTGAGAACTGTGAGCCTGAGATCTCTTTTGGTGCCACTGAAGTTCCAATAAACCCTTCACACACCTGCTCCTGGTGACCTTGCCCTCAGCAGTTCATCTGGTTTGGAAGTCAAGCTGCCCATCAGCTATAAATCCGCAGGTAACTGGGCTGACTTGGTCACCTCTGTTTGTAAACTGCCCTGCCAAAACCAGCTGTGGATTATTTCCTAATTCCAGGGCACCAGGACACTGCACCATCTTCACAGAATGATCACTAAGACCAAAAGCAGGCAGGAAAATAAGTCACTAATTACATGTGTGGGATGGTGGTGCCCAGGAGGAGGAACCTGTCCCTGAGAACTCTCAGCCTGGAGTCAGGCAGGAGGAAAATCAGAGGGGGATTGAAATGCACTGACACAAGACTTGAGAGATCTCAGTGGACTGGATTCCTGGGACTTGGGGCTACCTGATTTTTCATCTTGCTTCACTCCCAATTTTGTGGCTTCCTTGCCCAATGCCTTGCCACATGTTGGTGTTGCTTCAGGCATTCAAGTTTTCAGATCATTTGCAACTGTGGCATCTTAGCCATTAATATTCTGGCATTGTCGAGGTGTTTTTTAGCTCACTTTCATCAGCTCAGACCCAGTCAAAGCTCACATGTCCACTGCAGACATAATTCCTACAGACCAGCTATCTTACAGATCATCATATATTACAGACTGACCCTGCTACTCCCTGAAAGTACAAAAAGTGGCTGCAGTCACAGATGCAAAAACTGCTAACTGCAACTGGGGAGAGTTCCTTTGAAGTGAAGCTTCCCAGAAATCTATAGAAAGCTGTACCAAACACTCCTTCTCAGCTAAGAGTTTACATCAAGTCCTGTTTAAAGGCACCCTAAGGAAATATATATGTTAAATGAAAGCTGCATTCCAGTATGGTAAAGACTTGTGATGCAGTCCCTAAGTCTGCTCTCCTCCAAAACACAGAGAAGCAATGTAGAACAACTCAGACTGTAAAGAAATTACTTGTTTGAAGTCTCAAACCCACAGAAGTGGTGAAGGAGAAGTTGTACAAATTCCTTTTTAGCCAACAATTCTGTACAGACTTCTCAGGGGCTACACATCTCAAAGAACTGACATCTCTTGATGTATTTTACAGCTTTTAAGCCACTAGCTTTGGTTCAAAGCAAAGCTTATGAACAACAGCTAATTTCCTTAGGAGCCTTTGCCTGGACCATCCCTGGGAGACTCCCCTCCTTTTCTCCCAGACAGGAGTCAATACAGGAAGGATATCCCTGTCCTACACACAGCACTCAATGGAGAATTAAGGATTTGGGACCCTTCAGAGGTGTCTCTTTACCAGCCAGAGGTAGAACAGCAGCAGAGGAGCACACAGGTGGGGACTAGGCAGCACAGCTCAGCTCCAGAGCTCACCCACTGAATTAAAATTCAGACTATGGGTATGGCTGTTGCTGCCAGGAGTTTGCAGGCAGCAAACTCCTTTTTGGCCAGGCAGAGCAGCTTGTTCTCCTTTCATGTTGCATCAACTGTGATTACACAGTTGAGGGGCCATGGCCTTGGTGAGACTGGAGGAACACCAGCACCACAATCAGCATCTCCAGCCACTGCACCCAAATCCCAGCACCACTGTCCATGGTGGATGTGGATCCATGAGTGGATGTGTCTGGGAGAGATGCTGGGAGCAGCCCAGGAGATGACAGCTTGTGCTTCCCTGGAATGGTGTAAACTCAGCATCAAAATCCATACTAAATGATGCCAGTCAGGCCTGGCTGCCATGAGTGTTGGTTGGCAGCAGCACGTCACGTAAATCCAAACAGAGCAGCAGCACTGCAGGGTGAGCCTCTGGGGAAATCAGCCTCTCCCCCATCTCCCCTCTTCTCTGCTCCCCTTTCCTGCTAGCCAGGCATGAAGGACATGCCAGGGAATTCTTCTTGCAGCCTGTGCCACTCGTGCTGCTCAGTTCTCTGGTTCTCTCTGAGGGACAGCACTTGGGTACAGAGCGCAAATGAGACCAAGCTGAGGAAAATTTCCTTCCACGATGCCAGTGCTGTGATGGGATTTGGGCTCGGAGACACAGCCCTGCCTGTGCAGCCACACGTGCCACAACTCAGGGGCTTGAGAGAATCACCAAGGGGAGCTGCTGCCTGTTTGTATGAAACACAAACTACTCTTGGAGGCATCCACTGGCCCACTTTGTTCCCATTTAAGTAACTGCTCTTGGTATGTATTCAGAAAGACAGATCTCCATTTCACGTTGGTAACTGGCCCCAGCAAAAACTGCTGCCTAGTTAAAAACAGATACTAAACTCCAAGGCCCAGAAACAGGACATGGCATCTCCCTGCAGGACTTGCCAGGACACATTTTCCAGCAAACTGAGCAGTTTAGGTCCAGCTATGAGGAGTCAAACCCCTCCATTAGTGATGTGGAGCTTTCCTTTGGTTCTGCATCAAGTAACCTGCTTCAGTCCCACAGTGCACAGTGCAATTTTGATTTGTTCAGATGTGCTAGTTTGGGATGGGATGAAGTTAATTTTCCTCACAGTAGGTGGTATGGGGCTGTGCTTTGGATTTGTACTGAAATTTGTACTGAAATCCAGCCAGGCTGGATGGGGCTTGGAGCAACCTGGGCTGGTGGAAGGTGTCCCTGCCCATGGCAGGGGTGGAATGAGATGAGCTTTAAGGTCCCTTCCAACCCAAACCATTCCCTGATTCTCTGAAAACAGTGTTGATAATACTGGGATGTTTTGTTATCACTGAGCATCCCTGCCCATGGGGAATGGGGAATTAATTCCTTATTTTGCTTCATTTGCTTTACCTAAACTGTCTTTATCTCAGCCCACAAGTTTTCTCACCTTCACCCTTCCCCACCCCACCGGGGCAGTGACTGAGCAGCTGCTGAGGCCAGAGTTAAACCATGACATCAGGAGAGATTTCAACACAAACCCACCAGCACTAGGCCAGGAAATCTTCCTTTTCTTAATTCAGTACACATCATGAGGCTGCAACCAAGTCAACTCAGCACCCTGACCTCCAAGTCCCTGGGGTTGGGATCTACTTTCCTGAAAATACTTTCTTTTCCTGACCTAAGACAAGCTTTCTGGCTCTGTCACCACATGCAGAGCCATCTTTTTAACAAGGAAAACACACATGATCATAAAACCCTAAAAAGTTTCCACACAGAAAAACTCTTATCATTCCTTTTCTTGCACTTTAGCAATAAAAATAATAAAGTGCAAACTTGCACATGCAGTGTCTGATGTGAAGCCCAAAATATCCCAGGGAACAGAGGGAATAATGCTTAAAAACCATGTACAGGATTCCATGGGACTGTAGTTGTTCTGCACATTTGATAATCACCTATTTTTTCACTACTATTCTTCAGTTTTAGGCCATATATTAATTTAGTCACATAATTTCAAGGATCTAAGCATGAAAGTATGGTCCAGAACCCAAACTTTGGTGATCTTACCTGTAGTAGACATCACTATGTTATTTACTAGGAAACTATGAACACAGGAAAGCTGGACAGATTGATCTCCACAGTCCTTATACTCAATTTCTTCTCCAGGAGAAAACCTGGACCTTTCCTGGCTTGACTCTCTGCTCTAAAAGCCTGGATGTGTGTTTACAGAAAAAATCAGACAAATTAGGTCAGACTCTTTGCCAGCCACATACAGGCAAAGATGGACTGTGCACTAGTTTATAATTCAAAGCACACAGACTGTGACATATATTTGATTAATGGCTCAGTTTTTAAAGACAGCCAGGGATTTCTTTAATGTAATTGAATAATTACAAGCCCTATTCCCTGAGAACACTGAGCAAATGGATAGTGAGCAGGGAAGAAAGTTCAATACTGTGCTATCTGCTGAATTTATGGGAAGCCCATGAGGTGGCAGTACACGGGTTACCCTGTTAAAATGCTTCCAGCCACACAGATGAGCGTTCTGGGGGACCCACCAAAGTGCAGAACACTGTAACCTGAGCTGAGGGTCCTGCAGAGCACTGTGGCACATTCACAAAGATTTCCCCTGCCCAGCATGAGGCAGAGAGAGTCCTGCTCTGGGATGAGCAGGGATGAAGGTACTCAGAGACAGCCCCTCCTCTCTTGCTCTTCCTTCCACAGAAAGAGAGCCCACAGAGCTCACCCTCACTGAGCTGCACGAAGGTGTCGTGAAAACCACCCAGCTCAGCTGCTGCTCACCAGCTGGAAGGAGAGACAGCAGAGCTTGGACAGCTGGCCCCTAGCTGAGCTCAGCTTATTTCAGACTCCTTCTCTGAAAATCCCTTTCCAGGAATGCTGGTGCAGGGCCTTGATTTGAAGCCATGTGAGGACACTGAGGGCACCTGGGGTGTTCAGCTGGAGAAGACAGAGGGGAGAGCTCATGGCAGTTCCAGCTTCCTGGGGAGGGGCAGAGGAGGGGTTGGCCCTGAGCTCTGCTCTGGGGGGACCAGGGACAGCACCCAGGGAATGGCTGGAGCTGTGCCAGGGCAGGGTCAGGTTGGATCTCAGGAAAAGGTTCTTCCCCCAGAGGGTGGTTGGCACTGACCAGGCTCCCCAGGGCAGTGGGCACAGCCCCAAGGCTGCCAGAGCTCCAGGAGAGTTTGGATGATCCTCTGGGGCACAGGGTGTGACCCTTGGGGATGGGCCTGTGCAGGGCTGAGGGTTGGACTCGCTGATCCTTGTAGGTCCCTTCCAACTCAGAATATTCTGGGATTCTGTGATGGTACCAGCAAGGTGCCAAAAGTGAAATGCTACAGGGCCCAACTCCAGGCATGTGGTAACAAACCCTCCGTGCTGGGATCAGATGGTGTCACCCTTTGTGTCCCTCCAGCACCCAACACTCACCCCTCACTTACCAGACACTCTATCGACACTGTACATCCTCTCCAGCCTCTTCCTGTGCCACCCAGTCTCGCTGGGCGGATGCTGCTCCAGGTCAAAGGATTGCTGGGAAGGGGCAGCCAGGCGGGTGCAGTTTGGGCACTCCTTGGAGCCCTGGCGGCTGCCTGGCCAGGCCTTGCAGTGCCTGCTGACGCCGTGGGAGCCGCCGGCGCCGTGCCCGTGGTGGCCGTGGTGACACTCGTCCTGGGCAGCCCCCTTCATCACCACCAGCTCCATGCTGCCGTTCTCGTGGTCCGACAGCATCGGCCTCTCGCCGGAGATCGTGTACACCCGTGGCTTGGCTGCCTCGCTCGGGATCTTCTCCGCCTGCTCCTCGAAGCTCCTCTCAAACTTGCCGTCCGAGATGACCGAGAGCCTGCGCTTGTTCTGCGCCGCCTGCTGCAGCTCAGGGGAGTCCTCCTGCCCGATGTAGGAGTCTGCTAACAGGTGATCTGAAACAAAAGGCGCGTGCTCCTTAAAACCAAAACACCCCAGATTCAAATTCACGAGGCTCTTTGCTACTGCTGCAGAAAGGGGAGCAAGGAGAGAAATACAGCAGGTTCCCCCAGGAACCGTTTCAGATGAATGTGTGCCCACTGCTGCCTTCTAAACCTCCAGAGCTGGCACTGAAATGAGAGACATTTCTCACAAATAGGCCCAATGTTTTAAGCATGTGTGGCCACCAATGCAGGTCTTATTGCACAGCCTGAAAATGCTCCCATGCAAGACAGCCCTGGTTCAGCTGCAACCCCTTCTGCTCCAGTGGGTTCTGAGCTGGTCACAGTCTGCAGGATAAGGATCAGCACAAACCTCTCCAGGTGCCAAACTCTGTTTTACGCATCAAGTTCTTTTAGAACACTGGGAAAGGGTTTGGGTTTTTTTCCTCCTGATTTTCTGCCAACAGGGCAGGTACTGATCCTGGCTGTGTGTACAGACTAGGGAACCAAAGGCTGGAGAGAAGGGCTGCAGAAAGGCACCTGGGGGTGCTGGTGCGTGGCCACTTGGCCCTGAGTCAGCAGTGCCCTGGCAGCCAGGAGGGCCAAGCCTGTCCTGGGGGGCACCAGGCCCAGCATGGCCGGCCGGGCCAGGAAGGGGCTTGTCCTGCTCTGCTCTGCCCTGGGGGGGCCTCCCCTGCAATATTGGGGCAGTCTGGGGAGACACAATGGAAGGAAGAGCTGAAGCCATTAGAGAGTGTCCAAAGGAGGCAACGAGGATGGGGAAGGGCCTTGATTTGAAGCCGGGGGAGGACACTGAGGGCACTTGGGGTGTTCAGCTGGAGGAGACTAAGGGGAGACCTCACTGGGGTCTTCAACATCCTCCTGAGGGGCAGCAGAGGGGCAGCTCCAATCTCTGCTCCCTGTAAGCAGTGACAGGACCCAAGGGAATGGCCTGGAGCTGCAGCAGGGCAGGGTCAGGTTGGATCTCAGGTAAAGGATTTTCACCCAGAGGGTGCTTGGGCACTGAACAGGCTCCCCAGGGCAGTGGGCACAGCATCAACCCTATCTGAGTTCAAGAAGCATTTGGACAACACTCTCAGGGACAGGGTGGGATTGTTGGGGTGTCCTGTGCAGGGCCAGGGAGTTGGACTCAATGACCCTTGTGGGTCCCTTCCAACTCGGATATTCAATGATTCCATGAGATGAAAGAAACGCAGAAAGACTTCAGCTGAGAGGTGCAGCACAGCACCCGCTCCCCACAGCACCCCTGGCCAGCACCCACTGTGTGTGCAGACAGTGACAGCACAGCCTGTGGAAGTGGAAGCTGTCCTGGAGGAAAACACAGCCACTCCCTTTGTAGGGTAGGAAGATCGAAAAAGGAGAGAGACCCATGAGTGTAACTATCTTTGGAGCCCACACACTGGATGAAGTGCCAGGAAATCTCAGCATTTCCATGGCAATTCCATGCATGAACCCAACAGTAGCTCCCACCCACCTGCTAATCCTTTTTCAAGTGGCTGTTAATTACCTCTTACACTTCCCTTCAGATGGGAAGCAGCAATAGGGGACTGGCAAAAAGGCTCAGCAGGGAATGCATTATTCATGTGACTACTACCCCCAAAAAATGAAATCATTAGTGTCCAGCACAGACAGCAGCACTTAAAACAGAGACAGAAGGAAAACCCGAGTCTTCACTTCAGTAGATATTTAAGGAGCTACTCAGTCATGACCTGGAAGAACTCAACCACAGTTTGAGGCTTGGCTGCCTTGATACTGGCCATGAAGAGATGAAGGAGGAAGAAATCTTATCTCAGGACAAGACTGGTGGTGTATGAGTGTGGCATGGGCCTTTCACTGCTGCCACATTCTGCTGCCTTTGAAGGGCTCCTGTGACCCTCTCAGAAGAGCCTTCCCAAGCTGCAGACTGTCACATTTTGAATCTGAAATCCATCCTGGACTGGGCTCAGGTTGTCCAGGGCCTCTCCCCCTGCTGTGTTTGCAACTGAGACTGACCAGAACTGAGCTGGTCCAGGGTGTCACCCTTATCTCATTCTTCTGCTTGAGACACAACTTCCTCCAGCACCACCAGGAGATAAATATGTCTCTGGCCACTCTGCTCAAGGAGTGATTGTCAGGACTGCTCAAGCTGACACAACTCAGGTTTCATTTCATTTGTCTCCTAGTGACACCTCACAGCCTCTGGATACTGGAGCTGACCAGGAGGAGACACTGCAGGAGTCCTAAAGAAAGAGCTGTGCCTGTTGAACTTGTGGCAGATGCTGTCTTTCCAGGCTTCACATGAAGTCAAAAATGCACGTCTAGACGTAGTGAGGAGTCATGCACCTCACTGATACTGTCCAAGTAAAATAGGAAAGGCAGGCAGTGGTCTGCCTTTACCAAATAAAGGTAAAATAGGAAAGGCAGGTGTGGACATCAGCACCTGCTCCAGGAGGAAAGCCTGATGGACAACAAGGGCCATTCCAGTAGAAAAACCAGCAGCTTGTCCACCCAGTCCTACCAGCTGCAGGATACAGTGTCACAGACCAACCAGTGCAGAAGGTGTCCACAGGCTCCAAAGCCTCTCCAACCACATTTCACACCTCAAAGGGCAGCAGGCGTGGGGATCTGCTCTCCAGCACCTGAGATCCTCTCCAGTTCCAAGACTAACCGTGCTCTAGAGTGGGTGTGTCTTGGGAAAACACCACCAAACGACTCTCCGAGATCTGCCAAGATCTGTGCTGGCTAATTGTGCCAAGCACACCATTTTTAAAATTAAAAACAAAGGCCAGTTCTCAGTACTCATCTCAACTTGTCAAACTTACTAATCTGTGTGGGCACAGTGACGCTACAGATTTCTCAACCACCACAGAATCGTGGCTGACAGCTGCCCCTGCTCCTCCTGAAATTAATACTAGGATGGAAGATGTACAGCCTCCTCAGAGCAAACACACAGGAGTGTCACCTTCCCTCACACACTGACAGCAGCACAATTCAGAGATCCAAGAACTCCTGAGCTCTGGGATCTGTGGCTAAATGGAAAAATGAAGCCCCCAAAGCACAGTATGTCTGGAAACGGTGATGATCACAAGTGCAAAGAGACCAATTCCAGTCTCTGTTTTATAAGCACTGAGGTCTGTTCAGCCCCATAAAATTTACAGACATGCAAGTGGGACACGACTGGTTTCATGTAAAAGTCAGATTTTTTACTGAAATCCTGGCAGCATTACAATTCTTGACCAGATATATTTGACATCAACTACCTGTCTGATCTAGCATGCAAAATGTGAGGACAATTCTTTCTTCCTACCTTACTTGTCCCTTCCTCAAGGTGTTTTCACTTGTACTTGTGTAGGAGTTTTCATGATTTACACTACAAAAGGCTGCCAGCACACCAATGTGTTTTCTTTTTGTGAAACAATTGAATAATTCTTCATTTTCATTCAATTTAGCACCTTCAGTAACTACACACTGAAGAAAGAACTTCATATGCAAAGGGAATGTGAAGCTTTGTTCCAGACTTGTCGTTAATAAGGAATTTATCTACAGAAAAAAGCCAGTATGGAAGGAAAAGAGGTTCAAATAACCATCATAAGGAATTATTGGCTGCTAAAACTGAACCTGCACCATTTCAGGAGCAAGTCTGTGTACTCATATACATGAAATCACACAAACAGGCAGCCCCAAGATGAGACCAGTGACCCTTTCTGTGCTTGCAGTGAATTGGATGCAGGTGCCACCTGCCTCCACTGTGGCATTTTAGGTTAATAGTTTGCTTCTGATAAGAAAGAAGTCAGGCTGGTCCAGGAATCAATGCTGAATTAGATCTGAGCCACAGGGATGTTGAGTGGTGAGACAGAGGGACACCAAGGGGAGTTCAGCAGTGACTGGGAGTCAGCTGCAGCAGGCTGCTGTTAACACCCTGTGCCTGGTGACTGCTGCTCCCCTCATCTCATTGTCACATTGCTCTTGTCACTTCTCCCACTCCCAGCTGCTCCATCCAACTGCCACAGCAGCCCAGGCCAGCGTGACTCGGGACTCCTGGCACAGCTCCCTCCTCTCCAGCCACTCCAGTGAACCTGACCTGGGAATGCCCCTGCTCCCCCACTTGCCTTCAGCAGCAACACCTTTGTCTCACACAGCTGCAAAGCTACTTGGGACCAGACAAATCAGGTTCCTTTTCATCTAGATTTCTGCTCTACATGGATTTGTCGTGCCTGAGACACTTAACAGCAAGATGAAGGGAAGGAGACCAACGTGCTTGATCTGTAGATCATGAGCCCAAACATCCAAATGGTATTTTCATCACTTCCCTGCCACCTGGGCCGAGTCCAACAGCCTGTCCAGAGCCCAGGGGCTTAACAGTCCAGTCCTGAGGGCCAACCCACTTCTCACCCCCCTCGTCATTTACTTGAACACATGTCTTTTTGGCCTCACTTGCTCCTGTCTGACATTTCTTTCTTCACCTTCCACACAGCACTGCCCACCACACTCCCCAGGGCACATGTATCACCAAAGACACTGACAGCAGTGACAATCTGTGCTGGGTAACTGGCAGTGTCTTGGAAAAGAGAGAATCCATATTTTCAGTACATGTAGTTCCCAATAATTAGACACTTATTAGATACTGCAATACATCCTTTCTCAGTCAGTAACTCTAACCTGAGCACTCGCTCTGACCCAGGGAACTGTGAAAGGCCTTGGGCTGTTTTTCTTTCGCTGTCACCACGTTTCTGCAGAGCAGGGAACAGGCTGGGATCAGCCCCAGCTGACTGATGCCCATCCACAACTCACAGAGCCAAACTCGCCTCTGCTGCAGACTGCCTTGGAACCCCGTGGGATGAGAAGTTTATAAATCAAGGCAGAACATAGCCAAAAGGCACAGACAGAAGCACCAAATTTATTCCTGCATTTAGCAGCTAAACTGATGATTAAAGCACCTTAGATTTAAAGCTTCCGCTCCAGCATCAGAAGCAAAGTGGCAAAGGGGAATCCAGATAAACCCTATTAAAAGAACA